AAAAAAAAAAAAAAAAAAAAAAAAAAAAATTAAATTTAAAAATAAGTTATACCAACATTAATTTAAAAAGACACTGGTAGATGTGGTGAGTTAAATAGTTAATATTATGATACGATATCATTCTCCGATGAACAAATACGCTGCAAAGCAAAACGAACTTCTTACATATTTATAACATCATCTTTTACGTATTTCAGTTTTTCCACATGTTCATCGACCTGAGAGGAAAGTTCTTAATGAAGCAAACGACAATCGCCATAACAATAAAAGAGGTAAGTATCAAAATATAAAATGCTGTACATATTGAAATTTGTCAATCAGGTATTGTGACCATTGAAAAGAACACTTTTTTCTCCTCCTTCTTCTGCTTATTAATACTAAGGAACATATACTTGTCATGATGTATCCAAGGCAGGGTGGGGTGGGGGTGGGGGCAAGTGGACAAGCGGCAAATGCCTCCCTTTAATTCTAAGATATAACTTCTTCCTCTCCAAACATAGTACAATGAGCAAAACAACGCGCACAGATAAAGCAGAAATTCTATTATTGTGCCTGAAATATAATGGCAAGCAAACCTTATCACATTTATCCTTGTGAAGCCTTCCCCCGCCACCACCAACACTCGCCTGGGCAAAATACTGGATACTGGTTGACGCGCTGTTGTTGAAGGACCACATATCATATATAAGTGAATTTATATGCAACTTCATGCGCAGAGTTTAAATAGCTCATCCAACATATTGTCTGCGATTTTAATGGGCGCGCTAACTAAAATTTACGACACCCACAAACTGTAGTGGCACTCGGCATAGTTCATGTTCACTGTTATTACACAGGAAATGTAAGGTCCAATTTAAGGATGGAAGAGAAAATAAAATCATATATCCGGGAAAATACAATACATTGATGCCAAATTAAAATATATCAAGGACACTTTGGCTGTATTCACAACCCAAACTGATCCTCCGACAAACGAACCCGCGGATCAAATATGGTCGACCCACTTGAAAGCTGTCGCATTATCCCCGCGAAGAATCTACTCAGTGTCTATTAGCGGATTATGCAGCAAACTTTCAACTTTCCTTTTCGGCCAACATTTTGCACCTTCATCCATAAAATCACCTGAATGTTTATTCTGTATCAATCACAAAATTTATCTCTGCTCGCGATCATAAAAATTGATTTTAATCTGATGTGTTCTTTTTTGCTGTGTTCTTTTAAAGCAGTGGCAGTGGCCAAGCCAACGAAAACAGACAGCTTTGAACTGCAGGGTGAACCCAAAGTACATCACAGAGAGAGGAGAGGTAGGTAACAAGACATAGATACAATGTAGACAACATGGCTCCTTTCAAAAACCTTCATGTTGCAATAAATAAATAAATAAATAAATAAATAAATATGTATATAACTTTCAAGAAATTTCATAGAGAAAATTACATCACCTTTATAATATGTGGCCTCATAGCTTGCGACAATGGCATTACCGGTGTTCGTCTATTGCAGCTGCAGTTAATTTAAGTCTTCTATTTAACCATATTTTTCTGATTTCAGCGCTTGGCGCGGTTTTCAAGTTTGTGCTTAGCAATTTTTGGGACGACATTGTTTGCCTCGGACTAAACTTAGCACAGACGTTTCAATGTGGAAGTTTGACACCTGGGACCTGCCAAAGGTATTATTATTATTATTATTGTTGTTGTTGCTGTTGTTGTTGTTATTAATTTTGTTAAAGTCTCGTTTTTCGTCTACTGTAAAAACCTTCATTTTCTCGAGTTAAGTTAGATTCCCCTACAAGGCGTTTCATCCCTCTAGATCTTTTCTTACAATCTATTATTATCTACAATCATCTGTTTATTTTAGGCTAGATAACATGGACAACAAAAGAAACGAGATCGCTTTGAAGGTCAACCAAACTCTCGATGAGGAGATCACTTGGAGCGTGCTTAATAGCACTAACGACAGGGCCTTGACCAACCTCTACTTGATCGGCAAGGAACTCGAAATAATTGCCAGCTCGAACATTAGGCTGATGGAAATTCTGAGAACCTTAGACGCCGTTGAGGAAAACAGTACAGTGTATGTTCCAGATGACCTTGACACCGTCACCGAGCAGAAGATCCGGTTCCGGGTCAACCTGGAAAAGTACTTGAATGGCATACAGGGCACCCTGGACGGCATACAAAATGAAATTGCCGTTCTAAAACGGAAAGATTTTGTGTATCTAGCAATGATGACCGCCATTCCTCTTGTGGCCATGCACACCGGATTGATCACGACCTCGGCAAGAACAGCGCTGCTGTCCCGATCGCAGAACTACCAGGTTGTTGAATTCTACGGGAAGCAAGGCTCATACCAGCTTGCAAGTAATCCGCAAGGGAAGATGTTCATCGTCCAGGAAAACCCGAAAAACCTTGGGAAGCTGAAAGTCTATGCGAAACTGGACAGTAACGGAAAGGTGGGGAAATTCTGGAAGTTCATGATGCCAGCGGGACAAAGAGCAGCAACTAATTCCTTTTTGGAATCCGTTGACTTCAAGCGCGCCAAACAAGTAGCCACCCTTCAGAGACTGGAACCAGATTACCTACAGAAGTTGAAGAAGACTGGCCACCTTCCAGCTTTTCTCAGATCCACGGACGGTTTGAGCCCCCAGAAATTCGATGAGTTTGTCAACACTGCCAAAACCAAAGACCCAAAAGTGATGTTCAAGGCCGACAATGTAGACGCCAGCATACCGAAATGGATGCGCCAAACCTTAAGCTCCTTCGATCCAAGCGACGTAGCATCTGTTCGGGCGTACAACAGACTGAAACAAACAAACCCAGACCTGTTGTCAGACCTGCAAAAGAAAGGGAAACTTGGTGAGTAGTTCAATTTGTACAGTGATGTAGAGGCCACTGATATTCGTACACATTCCCATCGCTTCTCCCGTCATCTCTGAAATATTATGTCGAAATGGACAGAATTCGTTTTTATGTAAAAGTTTCGAAAAATCGTCTCGAGTTTGGGGAAGTATCTCTTTTTTACCTATCCCTCTGCTTCTATAATTTATAAATTTCTTTGTTGATTTTGTTATTTTTGTTTATTGATTTATTTTGTCCGATCAGACATAGACATGCCCTTGCCATGTGGCTCGTAGTCCAGTGCACGCATGCCCAATGCTTTTAGTCGTTCATAAACATTCAGTTTTGGATAAAAACTTTGAGCATCCTGTTGTTAATTATCAAAATAACAAGTCAACGTTTTGTAGTCTTGTGTGTTCGTATTGATGGCGTAATCCTTACTTAAGAGTTTTGGATAAAAACCTTGAGCATCCTGTTGTTACTTATCAAAATAGCAAGCTAGCGTAAAAATGCAACTGATTAAAAAGATCGTTTTGTTTTGTATCCAACTTTTAAGTGACTTGGACGTTAAACTTATCATCAAACGTATATGAATAATGTACCAGACTCATGCAGTAAACTCTGTGCTTTTATAAGGCTTTATTACAAAGAATACCATAGAAAACGAGTGTGTTTATATGTCTCTGAATACACGAAAAAATATGGTCGCTCTGCCAGTCACTTATGCCATTTTATCCTTTCTAACGCAGGTGATTTTATCAAGCAGTCGAAGGGATTAAATAACGCAGACTTCGATGCTTATGTCAAAAAAGTTAGTAGTGCAAATGCCGATGTTGACGGCCTGAAGAATTTTGACTTCAAAGCTCCCGCCAAAAAGGTGAAGTGGTACAGCTGGCAGAAAATGAAAAGCGGCTGGAGAAGCTTTTCAAACAAAAACCTATTCACATTTAGAGGGAGAAAGGTAAACATTATCATTGTTTTTAAAGATATGAATAAACTGTAAATAAAACATTCCGAGTGTATTTGCTAGCGTAAAATGAAACTTCAAATGTATTTTTGAAATGTATTTTTTCCTTTTTTCAGGTCAAAGTCGGCAAGGTTTTAAACATGGGTAATGTTGGATCCGCACTTAATGTTGGTTTATGCATCTTTATGTCGGTGATGAGCACAATAAACGTCAATAAGCAAATCGACGAAATCGAAGAGCGCATCAATAACGCTTCAGCCGCGGTGGACTTGAAACTGGAAGAAATGAAAAATCTAACTGCCTTTGAAGTGGAATTCTTTGGTCTAGTGAAAAACAATTTCTACGGTATTGTCAGCATGTTCGATACCAGCGAAGACTCTACCGGGATTGCCGCCGACCCCAACTGTCAAGATACACTGTGCATATTCTTACGAGAAGCCGCCTCGCTTAACCCAATCAAGAACTACGTCTCGGCATGGCCGAACGCCTCCATCACCAACACGACCATTTTGGATGCGCAGATGTTCTTCTTGAATAACCTCACATCATCCAAGTACGTGATGGTCCAGCTGTATCGCCAGTCCGAGATGGTGGCTCAGGTCATGACCTGGGTGGGGAGCCAGCTGTCCATCACCAGGATGATGGAGATTGCCACCACGCTTTCCAGACCATTCGCCAACAAATACGACCTGCTTCGCCTCATCGCCAAGGCTTTCCCCGACATAGATGATTACACCGGTTATCCACTGAAGTGCATCCGTAGCGGGAGTATAGCAAGCGACCAAGCACTGGACGCGTGGATGACTAGCAACCAGGTGAAGTCCCTCGACCCAAGGGTCTCCAACTTTATAGATATCGCTGTAGAGTTTGGCAAAGGCGTCAATGACCTGCTTGAACTGATCAACCGCAAAATAGATGACGGTTCGTTCCCGGCAAACGGCTGCGGAGGCGGACATTGCACCCGAGAGGACATCCTGACGGAGATAGCCACTAAGGTGATTCCAGCCGAGGCCACGTACGATGGCGTCAACCTCGCTCCTTACAGGCAGAAAACAATCGTCTGCCCGAATACGGTCCCTGCAACAACTACACAGATTATTCCCACCAGAACGGTCCCCAGGCTGCCAGAAAAATTTTTGGACCGTCTTAGAGAAAGGTTGGCTCGGCTTGGGAGGATGAAGACGCGTTTCAACCCCTTTGGACGCAAATAAGTCCTCTTTTTTCCAGCTATCGAACCGATTCTAGACTGCCCTCATTATTACGTGTTGGATGGTGCGTGCTAGTGAGGCGGATATGCATTAGGGCAAAGTGCATCCAGATATTTACTACTGACGGATAATATGTATTACAAATCAAAAATTTGCCTTGCACTTGTAGTTGCTTTAAACATGCGCATTTCATGTGTGAAACAATTTTACCTTTTGGTTAATCATGCGAAATTTATAGCTTTCGTACTTGATAATCAAAATGTTTTTTATATTCGAAATTTTACAAGGAAAAACTGAATATCAATTTTCACCTTAATAATGTGTTATTGACACAAGTTTATATATAGAAAAGGAATCATAATTTCTATGAATCAAAAAGCTTTAATAAATTACTTTTAAATTAATATTTTCCCAATTATTTTAAGCTGTTTCGCCTTTTCTGCCATATAATATAATCCGAGCTGCTAAACATTTATCTTTATTCAAAAGTCCAAATAAAGAACAATGTCATTTTTTTNAAATAAAGAACAATGTCAATTTTTTCATAATTTATTTTGTTTGTATCTTTTTCTGGTTGCACCGAAACTGTGCATTTCTATCAGCATACTCCAGTTGTTATCTGTCAGAGCACTGGTCAACTTAAATCTAATTCCCTATGTTCAAAGCATAATTAATTTAAATTAATTTATGTCAGTTACAGTTCAAAAGCGGATCGAATAAATAACTCACTCAAAAATAAATAGTTTTTTCGCACTCGACATGCCAACATTTGGCTATGGGCAGGAACTGTGCCATTTTGGTTTGCATTTCGACTTCCCACCGTCATGGTGATGTGGTCTCACTTCTTTATTTTCCAATCTACTTCCATTTTCTGAAACTCTTAACGACCAGAGCAAAAACAAATGACGACTGGGGTATGGTGATAGAAAGCCCAGCAGTTTGGATATTTGATTATTCTTGGCTATGAAAAATGACTGGAAAAAACACCAAAAATGAAACATCATATACATGACTGTCAGCGAACAGTGACACAAAGAGGTGCAGAAAGAATGATAATGAGCAACATGACCACAGCAAATAGCTCAAATGACGTCAAAGTTCATCTTTCAAGCCATCGCTCTCTTTGGAATCATCGTCACTTTCTTCATCTACGCTGGCGTTTTGGCTGTCGTCTGCGTCACTTCCGTCGTCTGCTAAATCTGAAAGAAATCATGAACTAGGTCATTGGAAGGAAATATAAATGCACGTTGTCAGCGTAGGATAAATTTTAGATGAGGAAGCCTACCATTACTTTCAAAATAATAATATTTTGTGAAAATATATAAAAAGAAAGATTTTTGGCTGAAAGTGGACAAAGATTGAGGTGTGACATATTTTCACATAGGCCTAATTTTCAGTAGTTTTGTAGCAAAGTTAACGTTTGACCTCAGAATCAAATGGCAACAATCTTGATGGTCCCGTGAAATTTTACAGGACAATCGTGAATAGAACGCGGATCTCCTGTTTAGTTCCAGTTAATTAAATATTGTATTACAACACTACGTTATTTCCTTAAATTGGATATGCTATATCCTCTTTGTTGCCACAACGGAACAATTGTCCATATGATAACTGAACTTTTAACGTCTCTCCTGGCTTTAATTTTCTTCATTCATTCCAATCATTCCAATGCAAAAACCTTTCTTAGGCAATGGGTTATCTTATCTTTAGTCTCTGACAACAAATAAATGAACAAAATAAATAAATAAATAAACTTATAATAAAGCCATGGCTTTTTCTCATTTTTAAATAGGTCATGCAATAGTATTGACTGCCGCCCTGTCCTGTGGGCAAGTTAGAAAAGTTGCATGTCTGAATGAACCAGTATCAGTACCATGAGCTAGGACACCACTAACACCCAAAATGAAACACCCAAAATGTTTTTTCGTTCAACGACATCCAAACTGATGCAAAACCACTGTTAGTGCTAAAAAACATAACCCCTCGCTCGTGCATTTTGTTCCTTCACCCAATTCATCATTTCTTTCTCACTGAAAAACAACAGAGCCTACCTTATAACAATATATAACAATATTTTCTTCTACCATCTAATGTGGTTCTAGATTTAAATCTTAAATGTGATACAACATTATTGCTAACATCTTAATAATACCATTCTATGTTTAAATCTCTAACGTGAGACCACATTATTGCAAGTACTCAATCCATACACATAACCACAATAAAATGGAAAAGTGAACCTGTAGATCAAATATGTACATAGTAAAAGATCTGCATACAAAATTCTGGTGTGAAAATGTACCATCCAAAATTTTTATCTGGTTTTCAAAATTTCTTAGCACATATTGACCCATTTATCACTTTATCAAGCTCTATATACAAAAACAAACAACAAATGTGCAAATATACATTTTGATAATGTCTACCTTACAAAATTTTATTATTTGTAAAGGCTGTACTTAGCTTGCACAGCTTGAAAACAAAAAAAAAATTTCAGAAAACAAAAAAAATCTATAATATCATCTCATTAAATCCGTTTTACACTCAAGGATTTTAAAAAATTGCACTTGTTCTGTTCCCATGAACAGGTAAGACAAAAGAATTAACTTAATATAATGCCTGTTTACATCTTGGCTAGGTGAATGAGTATCCCTGCACCTGCACAATTCAATACATTTCACCAGTGAAAAAAAAAAAAAGAAAGATTAATATAATAATATATTATACAACCAGTGATCTCATAAGTTAAAACATAATACAGTAGAATCTACATTAGTGCTCTCTTAAAGAACTGATTTTTTTCTTTGGTTTAAGTTGAAATTTATTTGAACACTGCCTAATTCAAATTCTCCAGTCCCAAAACTTATTTCCAGACATGCAGCTTTAATGACCAGATAATTATATGATGTGATTTAAAAGATGTTACAATATGAAGGCTGTCTAAGTGCATTCTCCCCAACTTAATTCTGAAAATGTATGAATACTATGAAAATTACTAAATGTTATAGAGTTCAGAAATATGAAACATGACACTAGCATACAATTGTTATAGTGACACACATGAAAGGGACTTAGTTTGACATAGAATGGAATTTTGTACAGCGACCACAGATACCTTAAACTTGTGATGATAGAGAAGAGAGAAAAATACCCTCCCTCTTTTGCTTGTTGACAGCGTGATATGTAAAAAAGACTCTACCAAGGAAATTAATTGAAATATAACTCTAAACAACTTAGTGTTGTTCAATATCGTTCATCTCTGAAGGGACACCAGATGGCGCAAGGGGCTATCTATCCTTTATTCTGGATCAGCAGCTTCATTAACTTATTAAGGAAGAACCACAACCACACCCCACCAGCTCACACCTGTCAGAATCTCAGCAAGGACTTCAGCCAATAGAAATTTCCTATTATTTAAGTGCGGAATGACCGGTTTCTATGACTACCATCATGACCTAGCTTCATGCAGATTTGTTGCAAACCAGATCAGGTATCCAAGCAAAGCACCTCCCAACCCCAAAGTCACCAGTACGTTCCCCTCTAGAATATATCCAGCTATGGCAAACGAAATGATTGCCACTGTGTACATTAGCATGTCCTGAGCATCATGAGTTCGACTCTGTTTCTTAACTTGATTCTGTTGTTTTTGTTTACCTTTCTTCTGTTTTTTTGAAGTTGTTTTCTTCTTGGCCTTTTTTGCAGATTTTTCTTTCTCTGATTTGTCTTTCTTTGTTTCAGGCGGGCCTTCTATAAAATGGATATAATATAACATAATATAATAAATCTGACAAAAAATACACCATTTTCATTTCCAAGTCCAATTAGCTGCACTGGATTTTATTTAGTTATTTATTTAGTTACACAAAAAGAAAGTTAACCTAACATGGAAAAAAGGAATTGTATGATAAGATATGGTATACCACACAATGCTAGTATGAAATTATGCAAAATGCACCTTTTAAAATTAAATATATTTTAGCATCTGTCTTACAAAAATCCCATAAACCAAAGTGAGCCCAACATGTGAATCAGCAGCTAGGTAACATACCCTGAGGTTTAGGTGTACATCTCCCATCCCCACTCTGTTCATACCCCTCCTCACAGTTACATGTATAACTGCCCACTGTATTTGTACAGGAAACCTCGTGCTCTCCCTTGCACTTATCTTCAGCTGCACATTCATCTATATCTGAAAACATGATAAGAAATGCATACAATTTCTGAAGAGACTTAACTTGCTTTGTTCTCCCTATGAGAATATGAAAAGCGTAATGCACTGTATATGGAAGCACATTCATGATATTATCAACATTATGTAGTATCATAAAATGCAACTTTCTCAATAGTAAAAGAAAATCTGATTTTTTTTATTTCAACCTCATTCAATGTTCAATGTAATTCAACTATCAATTTAATTAAAAGCTGCAATAATTATATCAAACTATACTTAAGTATTTATATATTCTTTATTTCAGTGTGTGTATGTGTTCTGTACCTGTACATGTGTTATTCTCCATTGTATAGCCCTCACTGCACTTAACACACTGGTCTGATCCTGTTCCCAGACATGTAGCACAGGCTGCATCACAAGCTGGAGAGAGAGGAGAGAAGATATCATAGAACTATGGGTACATGACATACTACACTGTACTATATCTATCTATCTATCTATTGGAAAGTGTGCATGTTTGTCTACACACACACACACACACACACACACACACACACACACCATTCAAGTTGGGTCATGTTTACGACATATTATTCAAAACAGTGCGAAAATTGGAAATAAATAAACAAATAAAATCAAAGGAAGAAGAGGAAATAATGGTACATTTTAAGACCACTTGCTCCAAAAACTATGATCATGTTTTTCTTTAGATCATCTTTTAATATTTTGTGTCAGATTAATAACTTACTTCAAGCAAAGATGAGTTTTTTTATAGACTTTTTATAGACTTTAGAGCTTTTTCATCTACCAGTATAGACTTACTTACCAGTGCAACTATAGGATCCCTGGTTGTTAGCACAAAACTCATTGTCTTTGCACAATGTCTGGTCTTCCTGACACTCATCTATGTCTGTGAAATGGGGAAAAATTCCATTAAATGTAGAATAATGGTTAAAATATGTGATAAAAAAATTAATATTTTCATATAAATCAGCAAACCAATCTTAGAAATTCTTTTGCAATGATATTTCAAGTTGAATGATTTAAAGGAAATTTTATCATATATCCAAGCAGATAAATTTTTTCAACTTTGACATTCAGGTGCCATTCACACTGCATACCTTTAATAAATACAAGTCAAATTTCTCTCTTACCTGTACAGCCTTCACTGTCATCCCACTTCCAGCCTTCCTTACAGTCATCACAGCCCTTGGGTCCACCCTCCCAGCAGGTGGACTGACAGGAGTCATGACATTCTGATAGGAAAGATCAATGACATGGTGAAATCCTCTCTTCTAATCTCTCTCTCTCTCTCTCACACACACACACACACACACACACACACACACACACATTGCACAATTCATTATTCTTCACACAGCAAGTAGCCTAACAAGATGCAATCTGATAAGGAAGATATGGCAAATAAAATATAGCAAAATTCTCTATCACTCTCTTTTACACAGGAATTGTTAAAACATGCATTGCTTGAAGTTTATGGACACTATTTCCTGAGAGATATAAAATTTGTATTAATATATGTGCCAGAAACAAAGCACACCTTTATGTAAATCCAATCATTTATATCAAACAGAAATAAGAACATCTCATAATCTTCATTCACAACGACTAATTTTCTATGCAGAATGACAAATATTTATATCTCCATGTGGTCTTACCCAAACACGTTATGTGTGTCTCATTTTTTTCAGCTTCGTAGTGGCCATCTTTGCACGCGTCACACAGGTCGCCTTGGTAACCGCCATGACACTTACACTTCCCTGTTCCGCTTCTTGTCCCCTCTCCCTGCAGTATATAACATCAAAATGGAGACAACAAATGATAGGAGTCACTCACAGATGAAAAGTGGGGACATCTTAAGTAATCATCTTAGATTACTCCTTCAGTGTGGATTTAATTTTATTGTGGAGACATGAAACCTTTTAAAAAATTAAAAATTGGGTCTGACAACAATTTTTCATGTAAATACTCACATCGCAGTCCCCATTCCCTGTACAAGGGGTTTCCGTTCCCCCAGTACACGCCTCACATTTTGGACCATAAGTATTCTTTGGACAACAAACTAAAAGAAATCAAAATATTCAAATCAATTGAATATACAGTTCCTGTCTTATAGTCTTTTTACTAGCATACACCTTGGTTTTATCTAAAAGTACTGATTGTTGTGCAATAAAATGTCCTCAAATACATTAAAAAGCTCAAGCAAAAAAATAACACATATAGCAATTTCTGTTATGGATGATAAAAACATTCCTTTTAAGACATGAAATAATAAACACAACTTTCTTTCAAAATTTGAGGTATTTAGAACCATATTATTTTCACGAAAACTTTCACCAATCTGATGATCATTGGATTTTTTTCCAATTTATTTGCTTTCACAATCTCAAAAATCAAAACTAATGATAATATAAACGGTTTCAAAACATTAGAATTATAAAATTGTTATAAGAGTTCTGTGCATTTTTAAATTGAAACTGATGTGAAAAACTTAAAAAGTACAAGACATAATCTCACCTTTGATATTCTTTATACAGAACCATTCTAACAGATCAATCTCTTCAGGAGGTCTGCTTTTAAAATTTTTTGAAAAATCTTCAAACCACCAACTTTCCAATAACTCTTCGCCATGTTCTACCATGGAATGACATCGAGACTAAAATAATATATAAACAGATTAATAATTGATGCCATGCAACTTAACACATACACAGTTAATAAAATAATTTTTAAATTATTAAACAAGAAAGTACAGGACTTTTCTATGGTATCAGAAGTAACTTTTCTTATTTTAAGAATGTAATAATAGGGATAAATTTTATAGGTAGTTTATTTCCAAAAATGCCAGTTTAGTGATAAGTGTGAGTATATCACAATGCAACTGAGTCTTTCATGTGTTTCTCAAGTTTACAAATTAATCATTAATTACTCTCTCCAATAACTAAGTTTCTCAGGTTTATGCTGGTAAATGCAGGGTGGGATAAAATGACACTTTAGACAAAAAAAAATGAAAAGCAGATAGATTTTACAGAATCCAGTCTTGCAGACTTTTTTTCTGATCAAAGATAATAGTTTACCTCTTTTGAAGAAGTCCTGCATAGCCCTTCTATGATCTCCAAAAACCTGGTTTCACTTGAAAAAAATAATACAATATCATCACCATACTAGTAAGCACCTCACTTAAATTCATTTGCCATGTAAATGTTTTTGTCATTCTTCTGATCAGTGATGCATACACAAGACTAAGTGGTATGTAATATATGTATAAAAAGAGACCTTTTTTTGAGAACCTAGAAAATGCAAGCATCGAAGCCACTATGCTCCATATGGTGGTGGTGATGGTGGAAGCTGGTGGGCATAAATAAAACAGCCAAATATCCATGTCAATAAATCAAGAAGACTTTCATCTCTTTTAATATAAATACAGCTGTAGACAGAACTACAAGTGATGTTCCTTCAGACACTAGTATACCTGGTGGCATAACTCCCCAGATTTTTCTCTATTAATATAATACAACTGTAGACAGAACTTCAGTTGTGATATCTTCAGACACTAGTATACCTGGTGGCATAACTCCCCAAACTTTTCTCTATTAATATAAATACACCTGTAGACAGAACTTCAGGTGTGATATCTTCAGACACTAGTATACCTGGTGACATAACTCCCCAGACTTTTCTCCTCCCAGTGTGTGTTTCCACCTCCAAAGCCTGACTTGGCAGTGTTTTTTAAACCCTGCAAAAGGAAAAAAATCTTACAAAAAATTCAAATGATTATTATATTAAAATACATTTATTGTCCTGTTCCACATAAAAAAATTCTTTTAAACTAAGATAATAGTATATGTTAAGAATAGATGACTGATCATTGCATATACCCAGTAAATTGTGATGCTGTCTGAAACTATATCGAGAATTTGTCACAAACTTGTATACTAAGCAGGCTCGTAGCCAGCAATTTCAAAAAGGGGGTTCTTTTTCTGAAAAAGTGAACCTTTTCCCATGAAAAACTTCATGTACCTAGATCAAATTTTACCCAGAGTGGACCTTTTCCCAGCAAAAGGGGCGGTTCTTTCGAACCCCCCGAACCCCCCTGGCTATGGGCCTGCTAAGTGTCTATAAGGATGAAACCTGCATAAAGTGTGGAGATAATAGAACCGCCTTCTTGATTTCTCTTCAAAGTAAATAAATACATATATCCATCCTGTACCTCTTTAAATGCATCAACAATTTCTTTACATGTTGTACACTTGGCCTCTATGTCATCACTGTCTGTGGGGGGTATGAGCAGGACGGTTGCTATGACAATGATTGAAATCCACAGCTCTTGCTTGCTCCTCATTTCACCTGTAGCAGTCTTGATGTAGTGTTACAATGCTCTCTCACATGAAGAAATTTTCTTAACTGTGAAGGGATTTTTGGCTAGAGCAAAAATGATTTAACATACAGTAATGCATTTAATAATTTTCATTTATAATGGATGTAGTTATGCGTGATGCATGGCATTCATTCTGTTTATTTCATTGATGTTTGCAGAGTAACAATCTGGGGTGTAAAACCAAAGAGAGAAAAAAAAAAAAAACAAAATGAAAGGCGCAGCTGAGATTCAGATCTCTCTCTTTCTCTCTCTCTCTCTCTCCACTTACACTATAATGCACTTCCTTTTAGTCAAAACTACAATAGTAAAAGTAAGTTAAGCTGAACTTGATCAAAGTCGAAGTAAAAAGTCAACCTAATCACTGCCTAGTGTCAGTGGCACTGTAAGTGTTGACATCACTGTGTGACTGTGCTAAGCTTTGTTTTACTTAAACTCAGTAAAATCCATGCATTTCTCTTCGTGTTCATATCTATTTTTTTAATTCCTGTCAAGCGAATTTGAACATTTCTATATAAGAACACGCTAAAGTTTTTCACTTACCTTTAAAACAAGAAAAAAATATTTGATAAATACGCCGGCTACCTACACGGGGGATTCCATGTTGTTCAATTTTAACCAATCAGTTTTCGCCACGATAGATATGCGGCACTATGTTGGTGGCGCAGTAAACTGTGTGCAAGACAGGCTACAAGGATAAATTAAAAATCGCAAATAAAATGCAAAATCGACGGGTAAGTTTTTATAACTGTAATTTATGTTTTAACGTTGTATGTGTAAAAACTCACGACAAGATTTTAATGGCTTGTAAGCTGTAGGAGAGGATGCGGTGCATTCATTTCTATAAATAAATAATTATATATCGTAAGATAGAAAAAAAACTAAGATATCATCTATTAACGTTTAAAATGGATCAGCTAACTATATCCTGCCAGCTTCTCCACATTTTAATAAGTAACATCTCTTAAATAAGGCAAAAGAAATCAATATAAAAAATAAATAAAAAAAACAAGGGCTCTTATAATTAACAAATAGTCACTACTGCCATTATGTACAATACCGGGGTACATATTTAAATACTAAAAAGGATTGGAAAAATTATTTAGAAATCGAAAAAAGATAAAAAAAAAAAAAGACATCACCAAAAATTCGCTTCCAACAAGGGATGTGACGACGAGAAAGACAAAATAAACTAAAATACGTTTCTATGTGATTTTTAATGAATGGCAATTTAGTTGTTTACCAGTAGGTATAGTTAGTTTTATTCTCACAAATAATACATTAAATTGTCAAAGTGACCCACTTTATTGTATCTTAACTAATATTTAACATGACAAATTTATGCATTCCCAAAAGTTGGTATTTGGGGGACTAGCGAAAGTGTTCTTCAAAGTTGTAAAGTCCTTATTCAGCGAAAGTGATTTCGGTATTCAGTCTTATACATGTACATGTACATGCAGTCACAGACAACATGTTCTTACGTTAATTTGAATTGCACCGCACGCACAGAATCTGTTTTCGCGTGGCTTAAGACTTCCACGTAGTTGATATGAAGCATAAAGGGAAAAGACAATAAAATAATGCCACTTTTTCATAAGTAGGTTTTTTTTTTTTTTTGGTATATTCGTCAATCCATTTTCGTTTTTCATCCATATATTTTTCTAATCAGCTTACGAAGGGGTGATAATATATAAACACTTAAGTACCTACTTTAATCAAATATACGATCTTTTTTGGATAAAATCTGTCGGAAGGAATTAACACTGATTGTCAACAACACGATGACATTCAAACATACATTTTATACGTAGACCTGGAATCTAATTTAAAAAGGCGCTTGTCAAAACAATTAAGGATCTTTTACTCAATTAAATGTCACTTTCAGATGAAAAATCTAGCCCGCTGACATGAGTACTTTTTGATTAACCCACAGAAACAATAACTGATTTGTGTCAGGTATTTTCTCATTTTACTGACAGCAGTGTTTCAACATATGACTGTGTTGAAATCGGACTTTTTATCATGCTGCAGGGGTACCTTTTTCTAATTTAGAAAACTAATCATGTGCAGAAAAGGCCAGCGTGTTTTAGCATAAGTAACAAAAAGCTAGTTGTTAGGTGATTTAATAGAATTCTAGTCCAGAGCGGCCACGCAGTTCAATTTTATTTTCGCAGTTCATAATGCATTGTGTTGTTTAATTTTGTTAAGGGCGACGACTGAAAGGGTTTTATTTGGCATAAGCAGGAGCGTGAAAGGCAGCGAAGTCGGGCAAATGAACGCCTTTAGAACCTTTTATTTTGGAGCGTGCATGCTGTTTACAATTTCAGTATCCGCGCTACCCAGTGGCCAACTAAGAAGAGGGATTCTGCACAACATTACACACACTTGTAGTGAGACACTAGAGATATGTAGGACTACAGTTGTCCGAGTACTGGAGCAACAATGTGACTTCGTTATGGAATAGAAAGGCATTTTTCGACTACTGGATACCATTGTGTATTATTTCAATAGTGAAGTTCATCATGGCTTTAACGGAGGGGTAAAATATCGGTGTACCACGCTTCACAAAATTAAGGAGAAACAATGATGCATCATACTGGCATACACGGAAAAGTCCGCCGTTTCCAACCTTTGAAACGCATTGGATACCAGTGAACCGAATTTTAATCTAAACTATTTTTTAAAGGTGAGTATGGTCAAAGAATATACACCATTGGGACGGTGTTTTTCCGTGCTCCATCAGCCAGTATTACTTCATACCCTGACACATCGTCTACGGTCGCCATTGTGATGATCTTTGTTCTTTGTTTGTTTGCTTTACGAGCAGGAGACAATCGATTTACGGTTATGACCGCGCTTGTTTGCTTGTTTTTTTCATCGCAATTCTATAACTAGTGACATTGCTACCTGCAAGTGTCGATGAAGTCACCAAGGTAGGTCGCACCTGTGTGAAGCAGTCGGACAATTTAAATACTACAAACCTTGTATCATTATAGGCCCATAATTGTTTATAGAATTTATTAAAAACGCATCACCTCCCGCAAGGGTCTACCTTAATTAATAGTAACTTAGTTTAAATATATGGAACAATTGGTCATACATGTAAGCTGCACCTATCAAAGAAAACATCTGATACGTGGAAACTTTTAAGAAGAATCATAACAGGCATGTAGACCAATTGTAAGGTGTTTCGAAGATATGCTTCTAAAGAGAAAATGCAGTAAATATGTTCATTTAGTTTTAATCTTTGCAGCAAGTTGAATACGCAATGATTTTAAAACTGGGATACCAAGCCAAGTGAAAAACTGTTGATAACAACGTAAGTGTAAAGGGTACTTTCTGAGTTAAAACTCGACATAGTAATGGTCTATAGATCATATAAGTACCCAGAAAACTGTCGACGAAACTATTGGAAAATTCGAAAATCATATATTTTGCGCAAAAACACGTCAAAGTCCACCATTTAATATCTCAGATATACTCGCGTGCAGTTTTCACCGAATAAAACAATACGTATTAATATTTGATAAACAATACAAAGTCTCATAAACTCCCTAGGACCTTCGAGATACTGGCGACAGTGCTAATATATCTGTGACACTCATTCCGAAGCAGGTCGAACTCAGTAGGTCGATAATTCAACACGACAAAGGCACACGGAGCTAATTTCATTGTTATCTTATTTGTCTCAGAGCCCGTATGTCTATTTTCCTCCTCATTTCTTCAATTACTGTATGAAACTTCGTATCTGACATTTAAATGTGTGCGCGTAATGGAATGAGATTCTGTAAGACCGTTGTCGTTGGAGACACTCACATGAATTATTAAGCACATGGAAAATGTGTCCGGTAAATTGATAAAAAGCCTTTTATAGGGTATCTGTACTTCAGCTGTAAAGGGGAAGACACCAGCAGAGGAGGCGACATTGCTTATCTATTTTTTTTTTTCATTTTGACAATAACGCTTTGATTCGAAAATCAGTATCATCCGCTGAATTTCAGCTATGATAATAAAACGTGTCAGCGATTTAGGATACAAAATGCAATTATAAATTAATTTTTATGATGTGAAATTTACATTTAACTCAAGAGAATCGGTGACACAGGTGCGAAAATAAACTTACAAGACGAATGAAAACAAGCGAGAAGCCTCTGTAATAGTGAGATGGTTACATCCTATTACTACAGTATCGCCTGCTCACCGTTTTCACATCTTGGGGTTATTTACTATGGGACTGGAATGTGCAAACAGTATAAACTTCTTTGGTTGCTTGGATTGCTGTTTATTCAACTGATTTAACTTGATTTATTAATCTGCAGTAATCAGGTAAATTAAACGTGTTTTTACTCTTTTCACCATGTGTTTGCAGTGCACTCGTGTAAGTACATGTATGAAATAAAATAGGTTGTTCGAATAAAATTCAAGATATACCATTTACCTTGGTACTAATATAATAAAAAATGAATTATAATGCTTAGTTCAACACGAGTGGAGAGTAGGAGATGGAATACCCTACCCGAAGAAGTATTCCAGTATTTTCCGACCGATTTTAAGTAAGAAATCAGTTACCTTCTACTTAACTTCTCTGGGACATCTGAACAATACATTACATGTGTTAAATTTCGTTATCTGACAAATGATCGTTCCGCCTCAAAATATCCGTTATTTCATTTCAGACAACTGCACCTTGAAAGATGCCACACAAGGAACGTCCGACCGTCAGTTCCCGTAGAGTAATGCGTGCTTACCGCCTCAACACTTTCGAAGACCAGCGCCTTCAAAAGAGTCTGTCGCAGATAGACCGTCAGCAGACGTATCATGACCGCCTTAAAATCTCGTCTGGCAAGGCAAACCACGCTGAGGAGTGTGGGATACGGGCGATGTCCGCCACTCCCAGGGACGGCTGGCTGGGCGTGAAAAGTAAGTTCAATCTGCACGACATGAATTTCCCTAAGCCGTGCACGCGCGAACTAAGACGCGCTCTTACTCACGGAAGGACAAGGTCTTTAGTCAACGAAATGAACAGTCTGGAACCCAAGGAGCAAATTGCTACCGACAAAACCGAAGACATGCGTGAACGAACGGCCGCGCCTCTTATCAAGGGGCAAATTAGTATGGGTATAACAAAAAACGAGGGTAATAAACTGGTTGAAAAGTCAGGAACCTTGATGAAAATAGCCTACGAAGAAAAAGTGCGGAGTACTATAGGGGAGGCGATTGAAAAGGGAGAGGCGCTTCCAGATTACATAATGGCTGAAAAACTGATGGCGGCTAAAGCGCAGCGAATTCAAATGACCAGCAGAAACGTGAAGTTTGATGACGTCACACATTATCACCTCGTGAACCCCGAAGTTGGGAAGCACCCTACTATAAATTCGCTGCGAAAAAATCGCAGTGCTCCGGATCTGCTCCAGTCGCCGCGCTCTCTAACGAGAGCTGCAAGTGCCATGAGCGTGCTTCGGCGAGAAACTAAGTCAAGCCGTGGGTCAAGACCCCAATCGTCTGCCGGGAACTTGAACTTAGATACCCACAAACTCCAACATATTAAGACGATAGTGGACTTGGATAAAAAGGTTGAAGCATTCGCGGAAAAACACCCTTTGAAGAGGAATAGCAATGTGTTGCCGAGGATTTCCAAATTATTGCCTTCTTTTGAATCTTCGGTGTGACGTATCTTTATTTATAAAAACGATGCGTTTTCAAACAGCATAATATAAAACGAAATGGTGGGATGAAAAACGTTTTCGTTTGTTCAGGCAAAACTTAGATTAATATCTGTAATGAAAAGAAATTACGCAATTCATAATGGCATATTATCTTCTTTGCTTATTAACATGAAACCTATTTTTCGTGTACATTTTCTCATTATTCATAAATTACAGCACTGTTTTAACATTGCTTTAAGCTTTAAAGCTTCATTCTAGTTAAGACACATTATATTTTACATATTGACTCATGTCCTCTCACATTAGAGTCGCCGATATCCATTTATATATTGCGGGCATAATACTATGTACAGGAGATATGGTATGTTGACCTAGTATTCCTTTTTGCTGAAAATGCTCAAGAATAAAGGCATTTATCTTTTATAATATATAATAATATATTTTTTAAAAGTCTAAAATCGTAAAATATGTTCTGTAGAATTTACAGATAAAATATAAAGTTAAAAGGATTATTAAATATTAAAAAGTAATTGTAATAAAAGTGCAGAGAAAAATGTCTAATTTTGATGTTATTTATTAAAGTAAAGAGAAAAATGTCCAATTATAATGGTCTGTTAAAGGGATAATAACTCTTAGTTTCGGCCAAAAAATTAATTTTCCTGGAGTAAACAACAATTTTCCCATTTTTACATTCAAAGTTAGTCCCTGTTTTTTTTCTAAAAAGTTTGGTTTTTTGTTAAAATCTCTTAAGAGATTTTAACAGAGTATAGCCATCAATGGAGGTCACGTGGTCTAAAGACTAGCTCAGATATCAGAAAAAATAGCTATATCTGCCGTTTTTGTGGTAAAACAAAACATATTATATTTCTATGAGTTATTCACAATGTTTTTATTGTGAAATATAGATATCACACGAAGTGTTATTATCCCTTTGAGTATAAAAATGGTCAATCATAAAACGTTTTACAAAGATGAAGTTTTCAGAGCTTTTTCAAAATCAGCCGCCGAGTTTATATTCCTAAGTTTTGATGGCAACTGATTCCATTTATATGGGGCCGCATGTTCAAAAATTTTCTCCAATTGTTATTAGTCTCGGATATTATGAGGTTTTAATAATAATTGATCCTTAAATCTTAACGTGCAATTTGGTGTGTAATGAGTTCACAGAGATAAGCTGGTGAAAGTATATATGCCAGAACGTCGTTTATTTATAACTCTTGGTGGAGAAAGAAAATGTGACTGTGTAATTGAAAGATTTAGCAAAAAATTCAGTAAACTTTAACTTATTTCATTTTATTTATTTATTGCGACTGGAACTTACAAGCCGTTTATTGCTGCCGTTTGATAGGAATAACAAACTTGTTAGCGGTCGCTGACCAGACAAGGACTAATATTGGATTTTTACTAATAATACTGCATAAGTCACAAACAAATTTTGCAAAATTTTCTTGCAAAGACTGATAATTTATCCAAAACACAACACAAATGCTGCAGCAATATGCTGTCGTGTTACAAATATACGTCAGGCTTGAGCGTTTTTTAACTATCTCATCATTATCTCATCACTAGAAAGGTCCTCAGAGTCACTGCTGTTAAGTCTCCACAACACTAACCTCGACAAGTGAGAATTTTCTCACATTTCTCTGGAATTTTTGTACAACTAATTTTTCAAATAACAATAATAATAATAAATTAATTAATAAAAAATGAATAATGATGACATCATCCAGCTGGCCAGTGGTATAGAGTACAATAACACTGAGACTGAAAGAGACACTCTTATAGCAAGTTTCTAACAGCAGATTGGGGTAGGTCCTATGAAGTAAGCAAGGCACTGCTTTAATAATAATAATAATAATAATAATAATAATAATAATAATGAATCATTGTTATTATAATTCACAGTATGAAAGTATAAGGTAGCAAGATATGGCTGAACAGAGTCCATCGCAAACTTTTATCACTAATCAATTCATATAACAATACATAACAGCTGCACAGTATCACAAACTGATCTTATCACACTCTGGGCTCCCGTTTCTGTCTAGTACATGTCCTTCCATAAACAGGAACTTTAGTAAGCAATTTATAAAAAATCCTTTTAAATATCTAAAATTTACTGATGTATGTAAACAACAGGCAACTGACCTCAACAAATTTGACCTTAACAAAAGAATTACCTAGAATTTTCATCACTTTTTCTTTCACGGCCAAGGTATACCAATATCAATCACAATCAACTAAAAGGTAACAAATTTTGAGTATAAATATATAGCTATTAGCGTTCTTCTACAGTTTCCAGTAAATTGCATGTTTATCACAGAGGAGCAACTCAGAAACTCAGGATAAGCAAAGAACTATCTTGCACAAAAAACACGACTGTCACAGAGGGAGTCAAGTTACCAGATCACAAACATTGCCAATTTCAACAGATGTTTTCAAGTTATTCAACATCATACTAGCTCGTAGTATTTGCAGGTCTTTGGGTCAAAATAACAGTTAAGGCAGGGGTCATAGAGCAGGTCCAGCTCATCTTCCTCATGGCCAATGTCTTCATCTGTCTTACTGGGTAGCCTGCCCCGCCTTCCATCTGAAAAATAAAGAAATAAATAACATCAATTAAACATGTATGTTGCATGTTTCCGAAAAATTCAGAGCAAAGGATTTTTTGCATTTAAGAAACTTTTATTTTCTAACGAGATCAGCTTCCTAAAAAAAAATTAGAGATGATTTTTCAAATGAAAAAGCTAATATACATTGGAGCTATAATCCAGAGGGATCATTTTTTTTCTACCTGGAGATCTTGAAATACTTTTCTTGTCCCCTTTCCTGGGGGATCCTCTGGGTTCTAGTTTCCCTGGGGACAGCTCACTGGGATCTGGGTCATGCTTCATCTCTGACGGTAAGACTATAGGAGGGCTGAAGGCACCTGTCCAATCCCTGAAATATTCAAATTTAAAAATTCAAAAGTTTCCACAATCACCACACTCAAATGCAACTACAAACAGTACTTCTCATATGACTGCCACAATTACTTTAATAACCTTCCATCTTTTGACAAAATCGGAAAAACATTTACTGCTCAGAAAGGTCTGACTAAACTTCTCATTCAAGAAGTATTGTACTACCAAATGGCAAATCTTGACACTTAATCAAGAACAGTATTTCAATACAACTTGACAGAAGCAAAACAAACACAATGCAATCAAACAAATATTTTACCTGGGGTTAGACATGGCTAGAGGATCTTCACTCATCCTTGATGTCGGCAGATGCATCTCATCTTGGTAGTGATGAGATTGGAGAGCTGGAGCCTGTGTGAAACAAAACACTGTTTTAGAAATTCCAGATGGAAATTCTCAGAGCTTCCCAAGATAAAGCTTCCTCGTCCAAGACCTTTGTCAGTGTTCTACAAGGACTAATGGGCTTTTTTAAACAGTTACAACAATTATCTACTTACCGTTCCTCTAAATGTACTAAAAGATGTATCATCACTTGAGCTGCTCAGGTCATCATCCCCATACAAATGTTTATCTATCCCCTGATTGGATGAATTTTTCTGCTGTTGGCTGTTCTGGCTACCTCCCTCATATTGTCCTCCCCCCTCCTCCATTTCCTCTTCTGCCTCTCGTTTGAGACTAGCCAGCATCCGGGCCTCAAATGACTCAGAGAGATCTGCCATCTGATACTTGGTGAAGTCATACTGTTTGTTCTGAACAGAAAAGAACTATATTTAAGGTATGTCTGAAGTACTTCAAGCAGGGTCTAGGTATAGGCAATTGCCCTGTGGAAGAATTTCTGAAATAATGCCTTTAGCTGTGTTTTTACACTTCTTGATGAAATCTATAATTTTTTCATTTGAAAATGCTTCTATATATACCTTCCCAGTGCCAAATGAACAATTTTACTTATAACTGTCTCTTGTATTCTAAAAAACAAATATAACATCAATTATTTTCTTGGAAGATAATTTCAAAAACAGTTTTACTGACCTGTGACAATCTTGCATCATCTTTAGAAATCTCCCGCAGTGACTTCTTACTAATACTGCATCTGGAATAACTCCCCCGTGGGCTAACAGATCCCCCGCTGGCACTGCTCCCGTTCGTCTTTAATAAATCCATATTATGTGATGCCTGGAGGGTTTGTCCACTGTCATTGGACGAATTTGACCCCTGTGACCTTTTGGAACTAGATGGGCGTGGCTCCTCATTGGAGATCCGCGGGCTGTGAATTCTCGGAGCTGTCATTCTTGGCGTCTTGCCAGCTCCAATGGGAGGTGGAACTGGTTTAGACTTTTGAGCAATTTTTTCGTCGATATTATTAGTGGTTGAATTTCTGGTTTTGATTTGTGATTTTTCTAGTGAAAGTCTGTCCAAGTTCACCACCTCACTCTCTGATCCCACAGTCCTTTGGACACCATCATCATCATCATATCCAGTTTCTTCAATTATATCCCCTTTAGCCTTGTATTTTGATGTTTTAAAATCCCTACTTTTACTACTCCTTAATTTAGTCCTATTCTCATGACTAGTCTCTACTACCTCACTGTCCCTTGGTGAACCTAGCCTCTTTATGTCATGATCCTCATCCTTATTATCATTGTCATCATCACTACTGCTGTCTAATATAAAGGCATCATCGGGGCCAGCTCCTCTCTTTGTTGGGTAATGGCCTTCAAGGCTCCTCTTGGCTGAGGATTTCCTGGTGTCATTTTTGTGAACCTTGAATATATAATTTAATTGAATGAAAAAAGTGCTGTAAAGCAGATGAGAATGACAGACAGATGATGTATCTGACCCACATTATCTGGCAGACAAACAGAAAAACAGCAGCTAAAGAATGAATGGATTAACAAAGAAAAAAACAGATAAACAAGCAGCTTGCTTAACAGGTCTGTTTTGAAACAGTTATGCCATAATGCTGAAATAAAATAAATGATGGTTTTAAAACCCGTGAAAAGTTAATATTGGAGTGAAACAGACAAAACCTTGACTCTCTGTTAAAGCTTCCTATGTAAAACATTTTTAATTTTTGCTGAAGTACATGAACACAGTTACAGTTATATCTATACAATGCACACTGCTTACCCTGCTCTCTTCTTCTAAAGTTGGGGACCTGCTAGGAGCAGACTTTGGTGGAGAGGTAAATAGGTACACACCATCTTCCTTCAAGGCACGAGAATGATGCGTCTTCACCTTCTGAGGGGGACCAACCGGTTCCCTGGAGAAAAGGTGAGATTGTTGTATAAAGCATAGCACAAGGAGGAGCTTAGGCTTTATCACTGGCTCACTGCTGATTGCTATAAAAATGTACATACAGCATTACTCAGAAATGCCTGATTATTGCTTGTTGATGAAAGGCAGAAGCTGCTGTCGGCAAAATATATATTCACGTGCCCAATGAGGTGAACACTGATTTAGGCGAAACTGGTCCACTTCCAAAACAATTCTGCCTTTATTATATACAAAATATAAGTAACATATATTCACACATTCTCTGTTAATTGAAAAAAAAAATTCTCCACTATTTTGCCTAATTATATTTCAGTATTAAGTGAAATACAGGTAATTTGTTGAATTATCCCTTTATGGATGTTTAATTTTTGTATTGCATTGCATTGTGTCTGCACTCTAACTTTTAGAATATTTTACTCACAATATTTATCATTCTAGACTTTAATCAAGATTACTATTAGAATTTTTTACTTACAAAATTTATCATTCTAGACTTAAATCAAGAAAACTTACTCATCGGAGTCTTCATACTCTGCAACAATACCATCATCCTCATCGTTATCGTTATCAACATCATTGAAACGTGTATTCCTCAGTTCTGTGCCTCTCAATGCTGCAATAACATCAGTTAGGGACTCGTCTTGATCTTGTAACTCCCCCTGGTGTCTGGGTGACATATCTGGTTTCAGGAAAGTGGCACATTTTAAATCCATGCTAGCATGCTTTTGGTTTAATGTAGTTGAGTGAGAATGCTCAATTTTTGCTTAAAGATGCAGAAAAATAATAAAATGAACATTATTGTGATTATATAATTCACTTGACACAATCAAGAGGTATACAATAATCACTCCATTAAGGTATGAGGTAAAAAAATTTGGAACCACATTTTGTGTAAGAGAATTTGATGATTGACTATCCCATGCAAATTACAGCACTCAACATTTAATTAAACAAATACCTTCATAATCATCCGACAGCCGGGGACCCACTCCTGTTTCCTTCTTGTTCTTATTTTTTTCTAGCTGGCGACTTTTCCTCATGTCGCTTTGAGACTCGTGTAGCTTGATGTCCTCCTCTATCCACTCTCTGGGTGACTGCACTGCTGTCGACTTCAAGCTAAACATATAACATAAAAAGATTTGTCTTAAAATCCTTAAAATATATTAATACTACTTATTTTCATAGTTATAATTGTAATGTAAATTTATTCAAATCTGCTTAATAACAATAAATTATATGAATATATTACATAAAATAAAAAGGTGCTTTGAGATCAAATCTCCATCAAAATTGACTCAATAACAAATCTTAAATTTTGATCCCAAACTCAATGAAGCATCCAGACTGCACTTTGCAGAAGTATAAATAATAAACTGCAATACTGTTAACATTTGTAATTGTGAAAAATATCAGACTTCAAAGTCATTCATTAATCAGGAAAGGAAATTTAATTCATCAACATAACTGTTACGTTTCAAATCGAGTCAAATTTTGCAGGCAATCCAGAATTTTTTACCTGGGACTTTTCTCTTTTTCAATCCCTCTGACTTCACGTGGTGAGAGGGAGGTGTAAATCTTTGGCGACCTTGGTTTGGCCTTGGGACCTTCTTGGGAGTTGATAGGAGACAGATTGCCCCCTGGTGGCACAGGTGATAAAGTGTTTGACTGATTGGTGTCACCTAGAATAACATAATGACAAAGTTACTGACAAGCAAACTCAAAATATTTTCAGCTGCAGTTAGTATCAACTTTAAGAATAAACTGGTCTATGATGTCAACTAACATTAAATTGGGTAACACAAGCATTTTTTTCTTGTAACAGTTATAAACATACTGTTTAATATTTCATCAACATTTAGACGGAGAGTTTCTTTCTGTGAAAATTCATTTTTCAATGGACCATGCACATACCTAAACTGTAATTAGGCAGATGGTTTTTCCTATCTTCATGTAGGTATAAATGTCATAAAATAATCTTTTTTGATTACCTGAATGAGCAGCAGAGGTTCTTTCTTTGCCTCCACTCTTGATGCGGACCTTCCTCCTGACTCTCTCTGTTGATGGCTCTCTGGGAGGGTGGGGCTGAAACTTCATCTCCCCTGCCTGCTCCCTCCCTGGGGGATTGGCAGGCACTTTGATCGGCTGCTCGTCATTTTGATCTATTTTTCCTGCCCATGTGCTACTGCCACCTAAATTACCTGAAGTGGATAAAAAGATGAAATGGCCAGGATGCACTGTGTTTTGTAATAGACAGAGCTGCTAATAACACCTTAGTCAATTTGAAATTCAAAACTAAGTCACAGTTAGTCCATGGCATGGTTGAATATGTTGCAAATTTCCTCCATTCTCCAATGAAAGAACTTTTAAGCAAGTCAATCTTAATGATACTAATGTAGACAGTGTGACTTGTAAACCCTTTCTTTGTGCAAATCCAATACAGTACACAGATATACATACAGTGGGGCTGATATGCACTGCCGCTCCCTAGCCTGATATATACAATAGCATACCAAGCTGTGCAGTGCACTATTTATGTAGTACATGAGTATAAATAAATAAGTATATATAAATTCTATATCCACCAGCCTACCTTTATCCACAGAAGTATCCGGGTCCTGTATATGGGTGCCTGGGTCGGACGGATTACGACTGTGATTAGACCCGCCAGCCTGTTGATGAATGACTAGCTTGTCTACCCTCTTTGTGGCCCCCTGGTCACCGGCCTCTCCGGTCTGCTGCTTGGACCGCGAGTGGGAGGACCGACTGGTTCTGCTGGTGGCGCCACCCTGGAGGCAAATAACAACATGCTTTGAAACCCGACCAAGTTGATACAGCATCCACAACATTGATCTACTAGTAATATAGTTGTTGATAGGGGTATAACATATCAAGAGTCCAGGGTTTTTTTGAAGTAACTCAATCCTTTTAAAAGGTTTTTTTATTGAAAATATAAAAAGAAGCGACTTGACTTGATTTCTGGATTAACTTGATACACAAACACACTCATCCACATTCACACACATAACATGTGCGCATGAAAGCATGCGCACACACACACCTCTTTTCCTGCTGTTCCTTTCCTCCCAGCAGAGCCTGGGGCAGGAGCTGTCACCTTGGAGCCAAAGGCGATGTGGAATGAGTCCCCAGCTGACTTCCTTCCACTGGCATTCAGATCTGTGGAAATAGTTACTGTTACCTTGTATTTTCATCTTGCTATTTGTTATACACAGTGAATCTATTAGGAATGAATGATTATTAGAATATCTAGATATCTAGAAATTACTAACACAGTGACACACACACACACACTTAACTTTCACATCTTTGTCACCCAACTCTAACTCATGGCACAAAATTAAATTTAGCTTCTCTGATTAAACAATTTGACATTTGTATTCTGAGTCAGAACACAGTAACTATATATTACAGGCAAAATATTTACCAATGTCAGAGGTGGCAGATGTTGTCCGTGATCTAGGACCCTCGCCTCCTCTCATCACAAATTCTGCTTGGCGTATCTTTGTCAGGGAAAGCACCTTGAGATAAAAAAGAAAAGATGAAATTTTCAATTAGTTCAATCTCTATACTGTTAAATTTGTGATACTCCATCTGTATTTAAAGTGGTTATAAAATCTGGTATGTTTCATCCTGCATATTAGTTTTAGTTATCAAGGTTCAATTTGTATGTTTGTTCATAATCTTTTTGAGGAGGAGATATTGTGTTTAACCTCAGTTATAGGCACGACTGTCAAGATTTTCTGGTTACCATGAGACAGGATGAGAAAAAAAGCAGCTGTCTATACCCTTTTTCACAAATAAAAAGGACAAAATCTGCCAAAAGGAGTCTAACTCACCTGAGTGACATGACTGACATCACCTGCTAGTTGACACTGTTTGGGTATGACATCTATCTCACAGCTGTTAGTGCCAGAAAGACCATACAATTCTGAAGATGACAAGGTGTTTTTCAAATTAAAGGAATGAGGCAAAGTTTACAAGTTATTTTTCAAATTAAAGGAATGAACCAAAGATTACCAAAACATAATAATATAATATTATAATAATTGTTCAGAATGACAGATACAAATTCTAAATGAATGTTACAAAGGGGAATTATAAACAATTATGACACTATATGTCTGAAAAAGTTAAATTATTTAAAGCACAATTAACTCAAATGAATGAAAACCATTAAAGGGAACCAAATCCATACGTACTGTATCAACACAACTCACTTCTCTTAATTCCTTAATATTACTGATTGAAAAATTAATATGTTCATGTAAAAAAATAATGTAAATGCTTCATATAACTTGACAGCTTTACAGGAAACCCCCTACCTTCATCATCAGTGTTGTCCGCAGGCTGCACTTTCATCGTGAATATCCTCCTCACACGACAGTTGGCACTCAGGGTAATACTCTCAATAGCTTTATAAGTCTGTCCTCTCCATGTCTCCCCTACCAGAGACACCATGTCCAGGCACAAGTTGGTCCAAATCCCTCGCTTTATCACAGACAGTGGTATCTTAGAGTGCAGAGGGTTAGGATTGGCTTCCTTGCTGCTGGTGGAGAGATGGAGTCTCCTTTTACTGTTGCTTAAGTCGGTGATCCCCACCTCGATTGAGAAGTCGCCTCCCTTTGGTACCCAGACTTGGAAAACGAGAAATCTCTGGACTAAAGTGAGTGACTGTTTGGAGTCCTTGGGTATGTGCATCTTGGTGGTTGCCCCTGACCCCTCCAGTGAGTAAATGTAGCTTTTGACTTCTTTATCATAAACCTGACAAAATAAATAAATAAATAAATATGAATATGTTCAGAAAGTTAATATTAAAAACTAAACCAGCTTAATTAGAGCCTGTTTAATAAGGGACTTGCTGTAGAAATATTCTGAACAGAAGTTCAGTAAGCCAAGGAAAGAAATTTGTTCGCTTTTTTTAACCTTTATATCTATTCATCTTCACACACACACGCACACATACACACAAACACACACACACGTTATAAAATTACAAACCTTACGTATACCTGATCCACCAGACAACTTCCAGTTTGCCACTGGGTCCTTCCCTTGAGCTGAAAACACTTCAAAGAAAGGCCCACCCTAAAGAATAAACAACACATACTGAATAAAGATATCACACTAAAGCTGAATACACTTTATAGCCTTTTTTATGAGAAAATGTCTCATCAGTTCATTTTTAAATTTTCATTTTCCCTTTAAAATGTTTGGAATCTAATGCAACAACAAAGATAACATCTGCTTTACTTAAACGAACAACCTTTATCTTTGGAAATAATATCACTCCACAATAAAATAAAATAAAATAACTTGCCTGAAATTCGTTTTTGAACATCTTCAGCTGGTTCAACTTCGACACGTTTCAATGGAAACTACATGGTTGTTAATGAAGCTTTCTCACAGTTCGGACCTTCCTTTACTGATATTAACACTTTTGTCCATCCAGCTCCAATCTGATGAATGTATCAGTTTTGGGACAAAGTTAATTACACATTTCTGACAACTTGGGCAGGAGACGAAATCACTGATCAACTGTAAAATATATAAATAAGTCTCGGCGTTGATATGGTTCATGCAGAATTAAATACTTCACAGCGTCTTCGGCTGCACTTTTTCAGCTTCACCACATACATGAAAACGTCAAACTTCTCTTGCAGAGTTGCTGTTTCCAAAAATAAATCATCGAGATTGTGTTTTACTTTGCATGGACCGCCATATTTGTTGCCATAACTGAGCAAGTGCAAAAAGTTTTTGACCAATCAAAGCGCCGAAGTGGATTTTGATTCCTTCCTCCACAATGGAAGAGTGACGGCTGGAGACAGAGTAACTGATTAAATAAATGACTTGCAAATATATAGTTTGACGACGACGACTTAAACCTATCCATCAGTTATACAATTAAATCTGTAGGCCTGCAATCACTCCAGCCTGCCAACGGTCTGTACGTCTGCTTAATCAGCCTGATCAATGAACCTCAAATACACAGTAGGCCACTTAAAAATTCGTACAATTATTATTAGTCCATCTATCATAATGCAAAATCATCGGCAAAAGTCTATTTTAAGTATTTTTGAACGAATTTAATAAAATCGATGAAATTGGCTTTGATACCACTGTAAATTCTGCATTTTACTCCAGATCGATTTTATTGCGAAATGTCGTCCAATGTACAAACGAAGAACTGGCACGATTAGCCTTGGGTGTTCCAAGGCAGATAGATTTGGCTCGAGGGTGATTTGATGTCCCCTTCTATTTAATTCTAATTTTTGTTTCCGAAGTTGTTATTACTATTTAATATAGAACTAGCTACTCTAAACGGAGATTTTATTAAATATGTTTAAAAAGGCTTTATCGATTTGGATAGCATTTTCTGTACTGTGGTAGACTACTGTATTGTTAAATTGTTAAGTAGTTTACGTGGTTTCTGGTTCACTGACCAATCCAGCAGATCAAGGTGATATATAGCCGGGCGTGACCCCGAGCTTTTCCTCTTGAAAGTGTGACATTTTGAATTTGTCCAAAGATAATTGATGTCGATGATAATTTCCCAGGGGTGCAGATAGTTACCTTCAATTAGTTGATTTATAATATACAAGGAAGGCCCCACAATAGGCTTTTATAAATTGCAATATTATGTGGACACAGGCCTATATGATAAATCCTACAATGTACTAGAAGCAGTCCAAGTTTTATCGATCACTGTTTGTCCAACACCTATAATGTTGAACCAAAGCGTTATCATTGTTGTAGATGAAAAAAATCAACAGACTAGGAATAGGCCCATGCACGCTGTTCACTGGTAGGGCCTATTTGTTGGCAAGAAAAAGTGGATCAAAACATGTCTATCCATTTCTCACCATTCTACTAAATAAGAAAAAAAAAAACGTTCAAGGTGCAGAACATCCGGAACGAATGCAAATATCAGGAATTCTGACACATGTCTGACAAGGTTGTCTACACTTACGGTTTTTATCGTTGTGGGAATCAGTGGCAAAAATGGAAGTTTTGAACGGAACAAACTTATCAGACGACGCCAAAGATATAGAAACACTTAACGGGGAATCGTTTACACCCTTATTCTGTTATTTCATTGAAAGTGAAGGATTCCGTATATTTGCCATAGTCGCGCCTGTCTGTGGGGTGATTGGAAACATGGTGTCGCTTCTGGCACTGTCACGTATGCCGAAGCCGTGGAGAGCATTCCACATGATGCTTATAAATATTGCAGCTTCGGATTTTGTAACAATGGTGATCTATTTTCTATCGGGGATCGTGATGTTCGTCGAACGTCCGACCTGTTCTACAACAAACCCCATCTCCACCTGGTTTATTGTGAATAGCATTGCCTATGCGTCGTTGTTTTGCACGCTTCTGGCAACGTTGGGACTCGTCGTTTCCCAATATGTGTCCACAAAAGCACCGTTTTACTGCCTGAAAACAACCTCAAAGACACATGCTAAAATATATATTTTAACTGCCTGGATTGCTCTAATTATTTTCTGTAGCTTAGCGTCTGTAGGACCTCAAATATCTGGAAGTCGAGAATCGTTTGATTTGATGATTTATTTTGTGTTCCTGATGTTGTTTCTAATCACCGCGCTGGCAGTTGTGTGCATTCACTGGCAAATGTTAAAGCACGTGCGCCGTGCAAACGCATCTTATACCTCTGATGCCAACAATGGAAACGCTGGCCAACACCTAAATCGAAATGCCAAGAAAACTGTTATCATTTTAGCCGTAGTGATGCTGCTGTTTTGGGCACCAGGTATTACGCACATTTGCTTAGACATTTCAAACGTCAGCCGCCACTTGGTCACGGGTGACCATGGTACGTTCTGGGAGGAGGTATCTCTTTTAAATTTGGTTGGGAATATTCTATTTGTACTCAACAGCGTCGTCAATCCGCTGATTTACGGCGTGAGACTGGACATTGTCAGACAAGGCTATGCCAGGTTATTCGCGTGTGTACGTGGCAGATGCCAGAAACCTATTACAGTAGTTGTTTAACAAGAGGATCACGTACGTATATACTAAAATATATTTGATAGTTATCTTATCACCTGGTAAAACATCTTAATTTTTTTTCGAATAAGTTTCCAGGTAAATATATTTAGAGGAATTGATGGCTATAGACGGAGAGGGGGAGGAGGGCAGGCGGATTGCGATGCGAATGGATTGAGTGATGATGAAGTTGAATGGAGGTTGCACGTGTGCTGCTCATGGGTAGCCAGGAGTCGGCGTCAAATCGGCGAGAGAAAATGTGCACAACAATTTAACGCACACGTCACAAATGATGTCGTGACGTTTATCTACAATAATACGTAACATGGCGGCATTATGACGTCACAGCCTTACCATGGCATTGGCGGGGCACGATCTTGACGGGATGCTGTAAAGGAAAGGACAGTGCGAAAGGTCTAAATTTGACATGCTTTCTATACGTCACTGGAATAATCAAATCCAACAAGTAAGACCAGCAATACCTCCACATTTCCCTGCTGCAAGAGGACGACGACGAGGAAACATCGGTTTCCAAACTCCATCCTGGTGGCAAACTCTCGTGTCCAGGGGAAGGACACGAGGACCAGAAACAATTTTGGATCCTCTAGAGGCTCATCCTGAGGACTTTTTTCACTTCAGACCTGTAGTAACTACACATCAGCGTCCAAGAGGAAGACATATACCCGCAACAGTAAAAATGCATGATGCTATTATAAGAAACGATCTCGATCTTCTCAAAGAGTTGATTGAAGAGAAAGATTTTGATCCCAACAATGGATGAGTCGTCATTTCCATCATCACAGTCTCTTCCACTGCATGTCGCCTGCATTTACCGTCGACCTGACGTCATAAAAACCCTGCTAGAATGTGGAGCGAAGGTAAGGTGTCCACATATTTTTCTCAGAAGCATCATGGTTAGGCCCTATAGGTAATGTCAGTGACAACATTTTAAAATCCCAGTATACACGTATCTGAGTTATATTCATACTATACTAACAATAATTAAGGATAGTCGTGCAGTCTTAAAATAAATTACAATAGATGTCTCTAAAAAGTTTCATTCTGCTGTAGGTCACTATTCCACAACGTATAATTGACGGTGTATTTCATGTATCAAGGAAAGGCTGCAAATTTTGGTATATATATAATTCACCAACTCATTTTAAATTGACTAATTATTTTCATTGTGGAATATTAGAAGTGGGCGACTCGAATGTATTTCTAACAATCTGAAAGTAAGAAAAAATAATTAAACAAAGCCGTTTTTATCAATGAAGGTGGACGCGCCAGACTGGGCCGGTCGAACACCCCTGGAGATAGTTCTCTTCTACTGGCCACGCATCCCATGTACTGACGGGATTGACCCCAAGTCCAGCTACGGCAAGTACCAGTCTTATCTCCGTGATCAACACGCGCGAAGTTTAAGGTGCATGAGGCAACTGATAGAAAAAGGTGCCAATATCCAAGCCAAGGTGTCTCGGTCCATTCTGAACAGGCGTGGACAGAGCTTTCTTCACTGTACGGCCCTGAACACCTTGCCGCTGGCTGCGGAATGGCTTCTCCGTTATGGAGCGGACATTGAGGCCAGGGACGACGAAGGTCGCACCCCCTTAATCACTGCCGCTATGCTCCCTTGTCTAAAAGTGGCAGAACTCCTGATGAGCCTGGGGGCGGATACCAACGCGCAAGACGTTCGTGGCAACGCCCCTTTGCATTATCTGGTCTATAGAGGTCGTGATTATCTGGTCCGGCTTGCTCTTGAGCTGGGCGCCAACTCGAATGCAGCTAATGACGAGCACCTGACTCCACTTCACGTGGCTGCAGAAATCGGGAATTCAAATGCGATAAGGCTCCTGTTATTGTACGGAGCGAATCCGAATTCGTTGGACAACAGAGGGCGCTCAGCGCTGTTCTGCGTTTTGGATGACACGGCGAACGCAGGGAACAGCTCGAGGTTAGGGATCAGTCTTTTACTGAGAGAAACGCTTTACACGAAAGTTACAGACAAAACTGGAAATTTGTGCAAACTTTTGAACCACGAACGCTTTGTTCATCTCCGTGATACTTTAATCCTGTATACGAGCGAGCCGCCAACGTTGCTGAAAATGTGCAAGGTGGCCATACGTAAGAGCATTGGTCTACGGAAGATTAGCGGGACCAATGTTGATAAACTGCCTTTGCCGACGGCTTTGAAAAGATATATTTTCTCTCCTTGGTGTTTCTACTGCCGAAGATGCGAGTGTTATCGTCAAAACCATCCCAAAACGATACCAAGCACAATACATTTAAAAATCCCATCTCCTTAAACAGAAATCAACCAATGAAATTTGCTTTTTTTTAAGTTCTTCAATACACTTTATTCGAAAATGGGCTCAACGTACCATAAAATGTATATTTACGGTTCATTGGGCATTCTTTGCGGAGAGGCGAATAAATTAAAACAATACATTGATATCTATCTCATTTGTCCTTTCTTTACCAATGACTTGCATTTCGCGTTATTGTCATACGAAAAGATACTGATAAAAGGGAAAGTATAAATTAAAAACATAAATAAACACCAAACAAAAAAAAAAAGTAAACTTAAATTTAAGGCAAACAACAACACAAAACAGACATATTTCAGCGATACATCTTAATAAAGCAAAGATCCGAGTGAACACTGGAAACAGCAGAGGCATGTAGATAGCAAAGAGGCGATTTCCCAGTCTCCCCACCCCCACCCCTGAATCTCAGGTAGCTGTTGTCATGGCGACTCTCTAATGCTTGGCAGGTGTAAGCAAGCTCCCCTCGGATATTAGAAAACGTTAATGACATAGTCCGCGTTCTCGCTGCGACTTGCGAGAACTTTATGACATTTTGGGGCTTAAAAAATCTCATAGTGAAAACAACAACACATTTTGATAAGATAGAAATAGTACATTGTATATTTATTTTCGATGTTACACTACTGGTATACCATAAAAATGTTAAGTTTACTTGAACACTGAAGAATAATTTGAGCACCCCGACACAGAAAAAGACATCTTCTTTTACACCGGTCCCAATAGGACTCGTAACGCTTTCAAACTGTTCATACAAAATAAGGTCCCTAAACACCAGAATCCGACGTGGCCTAACACCTACGTATGGTACCTAGCGGAGATATTATGCCAAAACTCTTAAACAACATAGCGGGCTTTTTTGTTTTTCTTTACTTATACATTTTTTAATTTGTTTTACTTATTAATTTTTCATCCCGACATAATCCGTCTCAAAATACTTTTGAGGAACAAGATCAAGGTGATGAAGATACATACCACTGGAGAATTTTAGCGGTAATAAAACACCGCAGGTAGTAATAAATACTTTCAAACCTCAATATTGCACTCTTTTGAATATGCACCCTTTAACATGTCTTTAAAAACATAGAAAATATATTAATAGTTATCAAACTTATCAACAGAGGTAGGAACAATTTCCCTTTTTAAAAATAAGAAAACACATTGAACTGAAACCCAATATTATACTATCACGATCTTTATAAAACTTATCCATACTTATACCTTTTATGCTTAAAAATAAAATAATAACGATATTACACTAATAATATTTTTGTAATAATTACAACAATAAGGACAGGTAAAAGTTAATTAAAAGATCCTTCATGATAATACCACAGACATGTAATAGAAAAAGTACCATAACATAATATCAAGATACAGAGGTAACATTCCTCTTTGGGTATGCACTCGGGTATACTGTACACTACGTATTTGTATATGGTATACTGTGCACCTGACAGAAATTTTTCCAAAACCATGACATCACTCAAACAGAATGAAGACTGCATAGAAATCTATGTCTTAGGCTGCATTCACAACCAAAGTTGGTCCGAGGACTTACATGTCCGTGGATCAAATATGGCCGACCCACTTAAAAGCCTGCCTTGCTATCCCCACATTTTCATTGTCTTTTAGGAAATTATGCAGTATGTTTTCAAGTAGGTTGGCCATTTTTGATCAACAAATCTATTAGTCCACGGATTAACTTTTCTGAATGCACCCTTAAACAAAAATACCAACACGACAGTAATCAAAATACTTATATCCCTTGTATAACATCTTTTTAATTATAGAATAATGCATGTTAACAATGGAAGTGTCCTATACATAGAACACCTACATGCATAGTAGATTAAGCAATTCTTTAAATGAACAGTCAAAATAAAACAACATTTATGCATTTAATTCATAGCATATTAGCTATGTATATTGCGTTACATAACACTTGGCCACATTTTTGTAGTACAAGTCTACGACCACAATCATCAAAGTTACCACTACACAGTAGTCTCACAAACACTTTCACAATTCACTGAGGCATTTGGTCCAGCACGTGAGACATCATCATAAGATGGAGGTGGGGGGAGATGCTCCACTCCTGGGACAGCTGCAGAAGGTGGCTGCAAACCATCACCAGGTGGCAGTGTTGACAAAGACAAGCTAGAGTTGTAATCTGGTGGGGATGGGGACCTTCTTGTTTCTAGATTACTGGGTACTGGGGTATTTTCAGGAGGTTGAAGACTATTGTAAGAGGGAGGAGAGTAAGGATCTTCAGGCTCTGTGTTACTGAATTCATGAGGCCTTGGACTATGCCTAGGACTATGTCTTGGACTATGCCTGGGACTATGTCTTGGACTATGCCTTGGACTATGCCTTGGAGTATGTCTTGGACTATGCCTTGGGCTGTGTCTTGAAATGAAGTCAGGACTACCCCTAGGCGTAATGAAAGGACTCTGGCTAGGGCTGACTCTGTAGCCAGGACCATCAGTGGGGAAGTGATGCACAGTTTCCACCAGTCCAGGTGTACCAGCAGTATACTGTGTGGCTGTGTGTGTGCTGGTATCTCTCACTGGTGACACTGTGTGAACATCTGCAGTACTTGTGCGTGCTGAAATGAAAATCAGATATTCAAGATCAATTCACAGATCTCAAAGTCGTTGAAGATTTTTCCAACTGCTGTGTGTGTGTGTGCATGTGTGTGCATGTATGTTTGTGCAATTATTCTGAAATGTGTGCTTGCCATCTGAACATGTGACGTGTGTGTGTGTGTGCGTGCATGCATGCACACGGCTAGGTTTCACAGAGTTAAACATTTTGCAGAGAAGAAGAGGATGAATTTACTGTGATATGTAGGACATGTTAATGGAAAAACTGATTGCTTATATCATGTTCCTTTTTAGACAGAAGAGAGTACATTCAAATATCATTTAATAGCAAAGGTTAAAATGTAGACCACCGCCATACAAGCATATACAGAAAGGTATTGTGTATGCTATAATAATATTTTAGTAAAAACAACATATTTTAATATTACAACAATATTTCATAACATATAACATCACAACACCAAAGCTTGGCCAACTTACTGGCAGTGTTTGTGCCACACATTTTACGTTTGCAACCAAATATGATTGCTATCACTAAGATGAACACCCCAATACAAAATATTGCTGTTATCCATTTAATGGGCTCCTTAAATATCAATGTTTCTGGTGAGCCTGGCAACAGAAAAAAACACATATATAATATAACTGACAACAGGGGCGGATTTAGGGCGTCTTCTGGGTCTTCCGGAAGACGGTCAGATTTTTAAGTTTACATTGACGGGTATCTAATTTTATCTGTCGGAAGACGGTCAAAAATTGAGGATAGATCAACAAAGATAATTTGGAAGACTGTCAGAAAATAACTCTGGATCCGCCCCTGGACAAACAACACAAGTCGGGTCTTTTACAAGTAAAATTGGAACAATTAAAAATCTATTGTAGCTAGTCTGCAGTTTAAATATAGTATAAACTTTTTATATCTTTTCATTGGTCACTTTTTTCAAAAATTGAACGATTGGGTGGGGGAGGGGGGGGGACTGTATGAAGTACATGTAACCCAGTAAGCTAGAGCACTGTCAATTACAAACAGAGCTAAAAAAGGAATCATGATGATTTCAAATTTTACAATAAATGTTGACTTTTTTGGTACCTAGTGTAATGAAAATGTAAAAAAAGTAATTTAATTGAGCATGGTTGGTAATAATTTGCACTTTAATTTTTTTACAATGTTAAAATACTTACTCTTTATTGTGCAGTCACTAGAATAATATTCACATCTCCCGTCATCGCACTTCACTTGATTGGCTAGACCTGAAATGGATTTTTGGGGAAAATTTTATAGTATGTATTCAGTAAACCCCCAGTAGATATATCAATTTTACTCTACAAAAAGGCTTTAAAATATTTAAAATAAAAAGATAAATAAATGAATAGATAAAAAAATACAATTTGAAAACAAAACAAATGTGATTCAAAATCATCAACAGAGACACCAGGTACGGACACACAACACACACATGCACATGCATGCACACACACAACACATATGCACACACACATGCACACACACACACACACAAACACACACCACACGCATACACACACACACACACACACACACACACACACACACACACACACACAAGGGGTAGAGATCTGAAAATGAAAATGATAAAGCTGGCAAACATACATCAGAAGCACAGGGTAACAGGTCAGAATACTTACAGTCATCTACAGGACATGAATCAGAGTTCCACACACATTTTCCATCTGGACAGCGTTTTTTGTAAGAGGGACAGTAACTCTGAGTGGTAGTGTGATCTAACAAAAAAAAATTCAAATAATAAGAGCAAACTACAGGGTATCTGTAATTATAACATTAAACATAATGACACTGTAAGGTTGCAATTCAATTTTCTAAAGAGAATATGTATGTAGGGTAATAAACACCCAATGTGAACAATTGTGATTATTTTGATTTCAAAGCTAAAAAAAGATTTGACTTGATATTAAACTTTTATCAAATCAGTTCACCTGAGCACCGATCAGAAGCCTCATCCTCTCCATCTCCACAATGATCATAGCCATCACATTGAAACTGCTCAGGAATGCAGCGCATCTGTCCCTGACATTCATAATATTTTCCCAGAAAATATATCTGGCAGAGTTTAGCACCTGAAATAGTATACATATATACATAACTAAACAGCATTTTTAATAAGTGTCATGATAAATTAAAAAAGTGATAAATATTCAAATGAAATATAGTAACTCAGTATGAGGATGGCTTTAGCTAAAACTTGAACTGATTTTCAATATGACTTGTACACTTTGAGTATGTTTTCAAAAGGGAAAATTGATCATAAAGTATCCCTTTATCTAAAATTCTAAATGAGTACTGTTCATACACTGATTAATAAATGGCAAAAAAATGGAGTTAACCTGGTTTTACATCAGATTCTTGGATCAACTTTCCTATGTTTATCCAAATTGAAATTTATTCCAATTCTTTTGTCAACTTCCCCATATAATATTTATAAACAAAGAAGAAAACTTACTCTCAAGGCTACTAACAAAATAGGTGTAGGCAAATTTGAGGCGTTGGTTTTGGCCACACCTCCATGTTTGTGATCCAGTAAGTCTGATAAACATGCTGCCACGTGATACCAGTCCAGTGCCTGGCTGATTTTTTATTACATCCGTTATTGGCCCTGATATGAGCACCTCACCATCAGAATGCCATGACTTCCTCACCTCTACATCTGTTAAATATTGATTAACATCCAAAAGTCATGATCGTTTCTTTTTTAGTATTGTGAAACATTAGAAAATTATCGCCTTTTTAAGATTGGTTCCAAATATTGCATGGAAGTGCCACTACAGTTTATTCTAAAACTGTACAATAGGCTCTTATTAAATTAACTTTAATTATACATCAAGTTAACCTAATTATTTATTCGATTAGCATTAAAAATAAATTATAAGCAACTTAGTCAACTTTTAGGTCAAAGATTTACATTTTTGGCTAAATATTCAATAAATCTGTCTGTGAATTGCAAAACTACAGTTCTATAAATAAATAAATAAATAAATAAATAAATAAGCAATACTCACTCAGATTCAGACATGAAGTCCCCTCAAAATCCAAGAACTTTGCATATATAAATCTTCGTTCAACTCGGGATGTGGAATACAGATGAGCTTGTTTGAAACTCCATATGCAGTCAAATCTTATGCTTTCTCCCCTCCACGCTGTATCAGGAGGGAGCTCCATGTGTCCATAAGACCTAAAGGCCGTGGATGATCTGTCAGTAGTAGGGAGGTGGTTGACCACATTTCCCAGGTATCCACATACTGCCATAGAAAACAATGTGAGCTTTTGTTCATTTATTATTATATATATAAAGCATTTAGTATTAATCTGCATTGTTATCACTGACATATTATTATTTTACAAAAGTTAAATATAAAGTCTTATTGTAGTGATGATTAAAAAGTACATTTATGCACAATTTATGACATAGTCCTGATTCACTGTACCCAGTATACTCTAGTACTGGTATATACACACATGAATACGTTAATACATAAATTCACTAAAAATCTTAATCTTCTATACTCTGAGAAAGCAATCAGGTTATTGCATTAAACAATTTCAGAATGCACGCACACACACACACACACACATGTGCACGCATGCATACACACACACACACACACACACACACGCACACATGCATACACACATGCTAATTATTAAGTGGTGTATCATAGCACAGAATGACATGAAAATACCAGAATATTTACCAGTTTTATTCATCCATATAGTTTCTGGCACAGATCCTTAAATGAAAATATGTATAAAAAAATCAAATCTGATTACAAGAAATTTTTATATAATTATATTACTAGCATGTCAATTTATCTACATGAATGATATGACAGTAAATTTACCATATTGTAATGTAATGTTGATCATCCTCCACCTTCATCTGAANCCGCCAGCGTATACGCTGGTGGTACTAATTAAATCAGTATCTTTCATTGACTTCCAATATAAACATTCTGTAATACCTGTTTGTTATTTAAAACAATTTTGGTGAAGTAATTTGAAGTAAGTTTTTCTAAATAGACTGAATGTTCTACTTATTAAGGCATGACATTTTGCTCCTTTGATATTTAGTCGGATTTTTCTATCATCTTTACACAAGAGATACCTATTCCATTAAGTTTTGGAGTATTTTTTCCCAATGCTTAATGCTACAAGAATAAATAATAAGAAAAATTAACATGAAGCCTTGAATACTTACTGTAAATGAACTTGTACTGTAATTTAAAAACTCCATGATTCTTCCAACCATCCACTACATAATGAGGGTTAAATATCACTACTAGATACCTGCCAGACGATACAAAATGCACTCTCTCCGTAATTCTGATCTCTTTATCTTTTCTTTCACAATCACAATCATAAATCTGAAATAAGAAAATTTCAATTCTCAACTGTGCAGTTCCTTTTCCAATTGATTCTCACTCATATTAAGGCTACCAAATTCATTAAAGCAGAGACAAGAAATATACTTCAAATGATATACATGTATAATCATCCACCAAAATCTAGAATGAAAACCTCTACTGCTTTGTGCAATAACAAAATAAAAGCTGCAGATAACTTTTTTTAATATACTAGTACTTACTGTCAGCATATATTTCCATGCAAAATTGTCATTGGGAAAAAATACCAAATCAATAGTCGTGATATCAATTACTCCATTTATATTTTTAGCAATTAGTCTGTATTTCTGAACAGATAACCCTGAGATGAGTGGATTCTTTGGAAAACCAGGAGATGTGATGTAGCCAGAGTCTCCTGGATTCCCAGTGATTCTAGTTTTGTTCAATTTTCTTCTACTTGTGCTTGTTATGCCTCCCTTCTCGCCAACTGTTCCTGTGCATTTGCACTGCCAGAATAACAGCGACTGTGCAATAATCACAAAAATCCCAAGATTCAAGCACGACTCCAATTTTAGGCTGAAATTAGAGCAACAACTTTTAACAGCATATCTCTTAGCAACAACTCTTGAACCCTTAACATTCTCTAAACAAGAAAGCAAAACTGGCAAATATTCAGACAACACCATTAAATAAAGTACTACATTAAATTTCAAATATAGATAAAAGCTCTTGATTTATTTGCACACATCAGATTTTTTTATTTAGGTGAAGTATTGGTATCCAATAATAATAATAATAATAATAATAATAATAATAATAATAATAATAATAATAATAATAAAGTATTTCTAGGTTAAAACCACCCAAGCGCCCACTGTGGCTGTGCAATTTATCTAACGCTAATAAATAAAAGAAACGATGGAGATATCAATATCCCAGGGTTGAATGATTGCTAACATCGGTGAAAAACAAAAACAACACTCACCCATACATGTTTTGATTCTGTTATGGATTATATATTATCCTGTGTGAAGACATTTCACTTGGGTTGGAGGTGGAAGCAATCAAAGCACCTTCTGAGGTTGAGGCAGCTCCAATGATGTGTTTTTGGCATTTGCTGTGCAAACCTCTTGCACAACAGGAGAGCCAGGGTCTGGCATTATTGCACAACCTCATTTTTCATTTTGAAAACACCAGTGACACACATTGGCAGGTTAACTTACGCGCGGTGTATTGCAACATAATCTTGTTTGTCTGAAACGGCGAAAAAAATGAAGCAACAGCGTCTGACTCAGAACTTGAATTATGGTTTCATACCCGACGTTCAGGAGTAATGGATTAGTTGCCTACTTGCTTTTAACAAGAGGCGCTTTCATGTTGACTACCTTGGATTATCACCAGAACAAATAGATCCACATACATATGTATTTCTATATAAAAGATTGTTGTTGTTGATTTTTCATTAAGCACTGATCCATGCCATAGACATGCAGTTTTATAAATCGCTAAAGTGAAACTTAATAGCCTTTCTTGGTTAACCTGCACAGGCCTGAAAAAGATAGAGATGCCGTGTCAGGTCATCTCAACTCATGGCAAGAGTAAGATGTCATCCCAGGCCAGGGATTACTTGTGCGTATGCCAGACCTTGATTAATATTTCCAACATATTTTTTCTATTATTGTTATTATTATTATTATTATTATTATTATAATTATTATTATTATTATTATTATTATTATTATTATTATTATTATTATTATTATTATTATTATTGATTTTTGAAAAATTAATTAAAATTTCTCGAATTTTGCATCAGATCGATATGCTGATATAAAGGTTACATTCAATTAAAAAAGTAAGACCAAACAGCAACCAATAATTAATCTATTTTTTAATTATCTGAAATGTTGGCCTCTTGGAGTTTCGGGTTCAGGCGTCACACCAGGTCCTAATAACCGTAATGACCGTTTTAAATGACATTTAGGTCCGTGATTTTCAGTAATCGTAGGGTGACAAAGTGGCGTGTTTGTGTAATTCCCTTCAAATTTCCAAACTGCTGGCTTAACGGACTAAAAATTATGGCTTGAATGTACGATAAAATCGTTTGTCCCTTTAAATTTATTTATTTATTTATTGATAAATTGTTCACATCTCTTTTCTCAACCATCAGAAATAATACTTAGGCCTACAAAACGTGCAGGATAGTGATAAAAACAACAATGCATAGGCCTACATATGGCACTGTTCCGATGGTAGGCCTATTGACTTTTTCATGAATTCATACAAGAGATGGGAGTGTTTGTATAACATGCGAAGCGAATGACTGCTGTGTCTTCACAATGGGTGATAAAAATAGCAACACGCTACATGTATATACTCAGTACACACTCCCGGCGCTTCACTGTCTTAAATGCAAATTATAAGGCAACATTGCGTAGAGTTCGAAATATTGGTTAAAATGGCACATTTTGCAAATTTATAGTCTTCAGTGCAAGCAGTATAAGGCGCTGCCACAGCTGGATGACACCCACCGTACGTATGAGTATCGTATACGATAGGCCTACATGTGAATTCGACTACACGCACAACTTTGGGCGTATTTGATTCATGCCCTTCTGTAACGGCAAGCCAAAATTCCGCATACTCAACCAATATTAAAAATCAAATGATGTGCTCTCATAATAAAACGTTTCTAACATACACAACATCATGAGCCACCATCTCAACATTACTGTACAGTCCAACTTTATCAAATATTCCTGCAATCTCCGCCAGTTTTTCGTCCCGATTTTTCAAACCCTGGTTGACTTCGACCGACCACACATCCACCGTAATTTCGTCCCAAGGAAATGACCTCAGCACCGCCGGCTCTTCCCCTTCAACATCCAGGGAAAAATAGTCCACGTGCCTCACGCCAATGCTAGCCAGTAGGGTGTGGATGGGAAGACAGAGTATCTTCGTTTTCCCGACTGTTGGGATGTCTGGGAATAGTGGTTTCACCGCACCGCTGTCGGGGGCAGCGGAGAACGTGAAATCGATTCTTTGGGGGCTTGCAGTGAGACAGGTTTGGGCCGTGTACGCTTTTCTGAAAAAAAAAAAAAAGAGTAAACTTTTTCAATTGATGTTGATTTACAACGCGAAGAAAACATAATATTACTGACAATATAACCCAGTTGATTATTTTTATTACATGTAGATAACATGGTGAATGCAAACTAATTTACATTTTCAAGGACATAGTAGGCCTACTTGTAAATAAATTACTGGCAATATAACACAGTTGATAATATTCTTTATTGTATGTATAAAACATAGTAAATTTAAACTGATATACGTTTTCAAGGTCATCGTACTCGTAAACAAATCGTATCACGCACGGACAACGCACCCTAACCTATTTTTCCGTGAAAGTTTCTCAAAGTTCCATGGGTCTGGCTCTATCAGAATCCCCGTCCAGTTTCGAAAAATTTCAAAGAAGAGGGAGTTGCTGTCTGTCTCCCCGTCCCACGCGCCCGACTCCACGAAAAATCCACCAGTGCGATGCCCCAAAATCTCGTCAACAAGTGTCGATTGTCCGGCCTGGGAGTAGTCCACAGCGTTCCTCGACAAATTTCTAGGCCGCTCTGTGGGGGCGAATAGAAACTTTCTTCGGACATATTCCATTAACCCTGGATCATCCGCCTTTAGATGTCTAGCTTCAATATCTCGATAAACGTCGATGTCTAAAATATTCAAGCGATTCCCCGTACTGATCTGAAAGATGCTTCTCCGCCCTTTGGAACTGGTGAGGATGGCACCGTATAGAAATATAATGGTAATGGTCAATGTGGTTGAAACAGCGGTCAGATAATTAGTCAAGATCCTATTCCTGCGGGAGTACATTGTGCCCGATTTCAGTGTCATTTATACATTTCTATATCCCTATTTCTTAGTTAATGTGAATCAAAGAAAATATCCAAGCAAATGTGAATAATTCTTGGGAAAAGCTGTGAAGCTCGTCGAATTACTTCTCCGGCTCCGCGGTAGTTATCAAAACTGATACGTGCTCTACAGAGGTATTTGTATGAAAGCGATTTTTGTAAACACAATTTTACGACCGTGTGTTCATTGAGTCGACAAGTATCATAAAACAATAACTGTAAAAAATATTTATGCGACTGTCTACCCTGTCTCCAAGCTTGTGAATTCTGGCTCGTGATTACAACTTAAATGTTATTTTTTTCTTCACCCTGACTTTCAACGTCTACTAGAACCTCCTCTCCATAATGAACAGGTGACAAAATAGTACAGAATTTTCACCATGACTGCCTCAGGGTCCTTAGCTCGTCCTGTTTACTCATCCCTTTGTATGGAAAATATCATGACTCCAAATTGATTTGACTTTAACGATTTGAAAATATCTGTTTATTGACAACGTGGGAGGAAAAACGGTGATACTCTCTCATGCTCTTTTAACACCCTGAATGTTAGCGTGTGAGAAGTGACGATATTATACACGTAAAATCCTCCTCGTCGTCCAGTGAACTATCACTGGGTCATGATAGAAAGCTATAAGGGGTTGCGAGTGCTTTAGATTTGCCGAACTCTGCAGCAGACGATGCGCAGTCCATGCATTAAACAGGGATAGTGAAAAACTCAAGTGTAATTTACTGACTAATTCCAGCCTTTTTATGCCATAAAATTTTACTTGTTAGGTATGTTCAGGTATATACGCGTAAACTATTCTTTTAGTGATAATCAAGTGAGTTTTCGTTAAAAAATTATTGGCAGGATTCCAAACACCATTTCCCATAGGGTTGTATGGCCCAACGCCTTGGCTGTTTTTTTCCCCAGCATGCTACCCCCTTACACCAGAAGTTTGAAAACGCCCTTGCATTTCTTCCGTATCAGCTGAGACCCGTTTTGTGGGTCCAAGGCATCAGCAGCCTGTAGTGGTCACCCTGAGATTCAAATCACTGCCAGCCAGTCAACTGGTGGGATGCCCTGCCGTGCTGGAATATGCAAAGCCGAATCAACATCCAGCAGACGCACAGGGTGTTGATATGACAATAACAGAATATTATAGTAAGTGCATCTTCTCCAATAGTCGATGTTGTTTTCATAATATTATTGGGAAAACCTGATAAGCTTTCAACGCCACGCAAAATAACTCAGTAAAATCACGATACCAGCATACAACCTTGCATATATACAGTAGTATACTAGTAAACTAGAAACTGCCTTGGAATTTACGCAAAGCAAACATGTGCGTGCGTTCGATATTCTATTTTACAAATCCCCGACATGACTGTTATCTTTTACCCTCCACCGGGGTCACGGATTGATTTTTCACTAGGTGTTCACAGATATGTCTTTAACCAAGGAGTTATAATAGACTGTTATAACTCCTTGCTTTAACTAATTCATGACATTTGTTTCTACTGTCAGAGAACATTTGTGTGTGGAGTTATTCTCGTCACTATAGCCCCTACTATAGAGTAGTTATCCCTGGAGTAAGAGTTCATTACCCCATGATGGAAAAACGCCTTTAATCGTACGTATTAAGATGTTATTTCATAAAAGTACAGAGACGCAGTTGCAATATAAATTTACATTGGCTATTCTTTATTCAAACGTACAAAAGAACGCATCACAGACATCAATAATTTTAATATTTTGAAATGAGGATACTTATGTAATACTGCGTGCAAAATAATACTTTATTCGAAATGCTCGCACACATAGTAAAAGTTACATGTATCATGAAACAGTGATATTTCATAAAACTGTCAAAATATAAAGATATTTTAAGGACCTGATATAAATGGAATGCACAAAAATTGAACAAATTCTTGGGAAATTAAGGGCACTTCCTCCTTGGTCGACTTGAGGGCAAGATTTAAGGTACGAAAGGTAATGCGGACGGTATTTTCTTTAAGCAGGCACACTATATAAATATGTAGTTTTTACAAATAAACCACCTGCAGCCTCTCATATACAGGTATTAAAAACACATCAAATCCTTAGAAATGACAGATATGAGCAATCTTCATGATGATAATGAGTATCGCATACTATCCAAAATTACTGTACACTATACATTACAGTACAATACAATACAAACAGTAGGGCATCATTCCATGCAGAAGTACTACTATGACTGTACACATTCAAATCATGATACACGATTCCTTGTGAGCAACAATGACAAGAGAGCAGGGATGCTATTTCTCTCCAATGAAGAAAGGAAATTAATAATGATGCTGGTCAACTTAACAGTATGTTTTGAGTACTTCAAGTCATTCAATCATCACAAAAACTTATCAAGTATGTATCTGTTAAGGTTACTTCATGCTACATTTGTCATATAAATTGTACAGATTCATGCAACTTGTGAAAGAATTTTCAAGTCCTGTAGTTTTATCGCCACAATGAACTTCTGTCAGGCATTTTGTAGTGTTTATATTGTATCTAATACTGTAACAGCCAATCCTGATATGACTGTAGTTCTTCCATTGGGTTTAGAAATCTTGACAGTGGTGGTCCCATGTTGAGTTTAGATACACAACTACACAGCACTGGGGCAGACCCAGAATTGTTTAAAAAAAAAAAAAAAAAAAAAAACTATTTTCTTTCCTCTACAGCTTGCACCCATTGCACTTGTTGCAAGGCAAATTTTCAATCATGCAAATGGTTATTTTTCCAGTGCCGAGAAACAAATCACAATGAACATAGTCCAAACTTTGGACAAAAGGTAGAGGGTAGAGGTGAAGGCTTAATCTGTCATATTTGATTTGGCAAATGGGGAATTCCACCGGTTCAATGGTATCTTCCCTAAATGTTTGAATCTTTACAAAGTCATGGTCTCAGACCACTTCCCAGTCTTCAACTCTCAAATGTATCAGCTGTTGTACCTGTTTCTACAGGGTTTTAAAACTTCCCGTGTTAGTTAATTATGATTACTGCTGCAGGCTACAAACAATAGTGCTGTTCATTTTGCTGTAGTTTTTGTACAGTCATTTTATACCTGTCAGCTGTCCCTAATTTAGCCTAAGGTTTAAACGGTTTACTGTGCCTAGCTGTGTCGATGCTGGATTTCAGAGAACGGTTTGTCATTTGTGACACGCTGCCCATCCTGCTAGATGCTGTACTTGCTTTTGTAAGACGACCTACATAAACATAAATTAATATTTTAAAAAAATATAATGAAGAAATATTTAAATATTTGAGAAAATATCTAATGGACACATGGTCTCTTTATGCCATTAAATATTTTCTCAAATCACACTCAATGTTTGCAAACAAAAGTGGGGTCACTCTTAATCAGATATTTTTTACAACAGGGTAGTCAAACCTTCAAAACTATATCACAAGTAAGTTTAAAACTATATTTTTTAGAAAAAAATTAAAGGAACTTACTTCCTGTACTCTTGTCCATGAGTGCGTTGTCCAGAGACTCCATGAGCATGTCTACATCAGCACGATGGAAGTACCTCTGTGAGGCCTTCTCTGCCTGTTTAGGCCTCTGTGGCTGCACCACTGGCGGGGGTGTCCCTGTGATTAGACCACGGGGGAAGTTAGCATACGCAAACTTCAGACCTGTAAAAAAAGAATTATAACAAATAAATAAATGAAATATGAAATATTTTCACGAATAATTGAAAATTCATAAAAAATCCAAAATATGCTTTATGACATGTCTTATTGTCAAGAAACTACAAAAACTACAAAAAATCTACAAAAAATCCCCCCAAAATGTACTGTTATCAAAAGGATGATAATTATGGAATTGATAATTCTGAAACCATCCCCATTTCTGAAATAATTATAATGACAAATGATTCTGCACAAGATAGATAGACAAACATCAGTGTCTAAGCATAAAACTGAATTCCTTATCTTGAGAAGTATTGTTTTAAGTTGCAACTGTTAAGCCCTCGTTCCATCTTAGCATTCTGTTTTGAGAGGTATCTTAATTGTCTGGCTATTGTCTGTGAGCCAAGCTGTTATGCTCAAAATGGCTAATAAATTAATGATAGCTAGTTTTCACTCACTGATGCTCAATGTCCACCATATTTCTACAGTGTTCAAGAATGTATCCTCATACATATTGGCCGATCGCATACAGCATAAAAGCATAAAGAGTCCTCTGTGTCAGAATTTAAATGAAAGGGCCTTCAAAACAGAACACTAAAAAGGATGAAACATTAAGAATGAACTCTCAATGTGAATAAGTGTTTACTGACCTCCAGACAACATGAAGAGATTTTCGTACCCCCTCTCTACCATCACCGTGGCAACATGGGGAGCTATCCTCTCGTCATCGTCATATATAACAATTATTTTACCAGGCTGATTTCTCTGGGGTCTCAGTTAAGGAAGGGGCAGATAATCAAACAATACAGAACTATTTGAAAAAAATAGGAATCAGGACAGGGTCGATAAGACACTAGAAAAGAAGGACCCCCCCCCATTTCCCCAATTTTTCATCATTTTTTAACTTTTTAAATACAAATCAGCAAACTTTCTGAACAGTCCTTCACACATTAAAAAAAGGAGGAAATCCACCAAAAGGAAGATGAATTCCAACCCCTAGAAATTGTCAAAGTTAAGTCACAGATCTGAAACTTGTATTTTATTGCCAACCAGTCAGCAATTTATTTATTTATTCATTTATTTATTTCTATTTGGAGTTGGAGTGTTCAAGTCCTTAACAAAGCTATGCCAGCTCTGTTCAACTGAATAAAAAAGGATACATAAGCTAAGAGCTCTTTGGACTCATAGTTACAAGATCTGGACAGCATGGCACTGGGGAAACTGAGAGCTGAAAAATGAAATAAATAGCTTATAAAATCACATGACAAATAGCAGTTTATCCAGCAGTTAATTACACACAACAAAGCTGAATGAGAACATATTAAAAAAAAAAAGGTAGTACACCTTTGACTTAAAACAATGACAAATTTGCAAAAAAACTAATGAAACATATGTATTCTATTGTGCCCTTAAGTCATTTGAAAGTAATTTCCCTGCGGCCAATGGAGAGTTCTGACCCTGCTGACTCAAGGCTATAAAGCTTCCAACCAAAGTTCACTGACTTAACATAGTCATTGTGTACCTTTATAGTGTACCTTTATGGACCTTTATATTCAGCACTCTGTGTACACTGCTGAATACTGTTTATTATAGGCAATCTGACCAGTATCCCCAGGCATGATCTCCCTTCCCCTTGCTACCATAATTTTATTACTGCTTACTCCTATTGTTTCAATTTTTTTGCCTTTTAAATCTCCCCCTTATTTGTCAATTAGTATAATCAATTTTTTTTTTTTTTGAATTTATAAAATTTTTTTTCCAATGTTCTTTTTCAGAGCATTGAGAGGACGGACAGCGCCATACCTGAAATGATGTGACAGTCATTGTAAGCGTCCACATCTCGGACGTCCAGGACCAGGTAGGGGTTGAAGTCGTCAGCAGTGAGGTTACTGGCTGGCGGAGGGGCGGTGGTGGGGGCATTCAGGTCCACCTCTCCAACTCCCTTGATTACACTGGAGTTCACCAAAAATGTTTTATAAAATGAAACAAGACGCCTGTCGCACATGAAAACTTTTGTCAAATAAATAAATGATCATAAAATCAATAATAATAATTTAATAATTATGATTTTGAATGCACAAACAAGAGTAAATAAATCAATCAATAAATAAATAAATAAATAAATAAATAACCCCTTACCTCTGCAGAGTAGACCTTGCAGTGTCAGGAGGGTCACCAGGACCAAAGTCCCCCTCCGTGATGGCCAGTGAGGGGGCGGGACTGGTCACCCCGCCCTGTATACGGGCTATTTCATTGTCCACTGTATCTCCTGAACCTGGCCGAGGTGACGCTAAATCTGGACAAGAGGATAATTTTATGTGATTTACATGTGATATCACTGAGAAAAATCAAGTAAGTTTTCCATGAGTAGAGATCCTCGTTATTTACTTATCTTATTAATAACACATTCAGAATCAATTTTAAAATTGTAGTCACAAAAAACAATGCCATACAACTACAGTTCATCATATTTTTTCAACTTATTTTATAATGGCTAAGCAGCACTTCAAATTAAAACCTTTTCATGAGAATTTTTTTCTGACATATTTGCATTTTCTCAACATCAAAAGTCATCCATTATTTCAACCTCTGTAATAACTTACCTGGGAAATTTTCAGCTAATTCTTTCTGATGAACCTCTGCAACTTGTATGACCTAAAACAAAAATCAATGACTGTCATAATAATCACTTTGTGTGCTTTTTTTTCTACAACAAATTTAGTAACTGGACAAATGTCCACTTAGCAAAAGCTTCTGGGTATATGAATGGAAATCCAAACAAATACAAATTAAGTCAGCCCACGCTTCTATCACTAATACTGATACACTATTTTAAACCTCGTGACTTGTTGGAGAAAACTGTTCAATCACCAATGATTTTTCTGTAACAGTTCCATCTTACAAAGTGCCACTTAAAACTTTGACTTCCTTCCTCATGCATTACAACATCCTTTGACACACTTGACACGTATGGTAATTGCTCAATAATTTTAAACACCTTGCTCATTCCAGTAATTCACATTTTTTCAGATTTTTCTTGTTACTCACAAAAAATTTACATACTGACATGAAACCGACGTACTTTTCAGAACATTTGAAACAGCATTTTTATATTTGATTAACAATTCAATAAAAGTTTGTTTTTTTTGTCAACTAAAATAAGAGGATATTGTATAACATCCTCCTTACAATCAATTAAGTGCAGTGATGACAATCAATGTATCACAGTGTGGTGTTGTAATACTCAAATATTTGCTGTAACTTACACCAATGAGTTCAGGGGGAAATGTACACAGTCATGGGTAACTTACTAGTAAACTGATGCCAACTTTTTCCATTCTGACATTTGGATAGTAATACTAGTGCATAAATATATTAGAGAGAACTTGCCGTAGTCTGTAAAATGAGGACACCTGGTGCCAAGAAGACTGAATTATCTCATTATTTCTTACTTATTAACATGCATGAAGCTTAATATCAAAATATGAACTAAAGATTGAGAGTACGTATTCTGACATTTGCCAAGGCCTCTCTCTCTATTGATTTGAAATAATTAACAGGTAATGTTTTCTTACTCATCCAAAAAAAGGCCACAGGATTTGAATGTCAACACTCCTATTTAATTCAAAGGGTAACTGTGTGTGTTTTGTCTGAAACACCAATCTCTCTTTATGCTGTTACATACACAACCTGGCTACATATTAGAGACAGAACAAACCTCTTCATTTTAAAACATTTATTATACAATGGCATAATTACTTGCTTGAAAATAACCTGTTAAGGAACGGTCATTGTTTATTAAAGATGTTTATAATAAAAAAATTCAAATAATCAGAAAACATTATTTCCAGTTAGCTAGAGCAAAGTAAAACATTAATAATTCTGATTCAATTTTAACATGTGATGAAAGGGATTGAAGACCGACAGTGACAGAAAATTGAGGACACCAGACAAAATTGCAAAAATATATAACACTGCAATTACAAATAGGTGAAAATCACAAGAAAAGAATCACTGATACTGTGCCACGCCCAAATGCAAGAGGGAGAAGGGTGAAAGAACGACTCTTTTGTCCTGAAAAAAGGCCCACTCGGCATCAAAATTTGACCCAAGTTCCATGCCATTATCATGCTAGAAAAACAGGCCTGTGTGCCATTGATTTTCAGAACTTCCACGTCTCAACATTTGTGGTCCCATTAAAAAAAGTCAAAATGCCTTTGACAAAGGTAAAATCAATACCAATGGCATAACTAATTAATGCTTTTCTGAACAGCACAGCACTGTATCACATTTCAAAATCGTTTGAGAAGACTGGGTTGATCTGAAGGAAAATAGTCTCTGTTCATAGGTACATTGTGCCATTTAAACATCGCAATCCATGATATAGTGGTCTATTTTTTCTGTATCATCTACAGAACTGATGCGCTCTAGCACACTATTTAAAAGGGAATTTAATTAAATTTAATCCAGTACCTTAGAAATTTTTTTTTTTTGACACTGGATAAGGCATTGGAAAAGTCAGTAGACAAAGTATACTTCATAAAAAATAAATGATAAATAAATCAACTGATAAATAATATTTAAAAAATGGCTGTTTTAGACCGACAAACAGTCACTTTACTTAAATTCATAAACTTCTTTTTATCTTTTCCAGGATCAAAAAGTCTATTTTTAAAACATCATTTTGAGAAAGCAGTGGAGAATATTTAATAGTATGTCCATAAGGAGAGAGTGCAAATGTGTACTGAACTTACCAGTTGAACAAATGTTGTCACTTTCATACGCTTGAAAAGTTCATCTTTCTTGTATCTGTAGTCTGCAAGAAAAAAATTGATAAATAAATCAAAAATTTTTTTCAATACATTTTTTTATGTCTATCAATATTGACAGGCCAAAAACCGTTAAAAAGAATGTATACTATGAGGTCATTTTTGAAGCATCTTTCACTGCAGTAAAACTACAACAGCAAAACAATTATTGCATACAAGTCACAGGTCTACCTGTGTCACTCCTGTACAAATAACAATGACAAAACAATAAACAGCAAAAGCAACAGTGCAACAGCCAGGGCCTATACACATGGCAGTGTAACACCTGTTGACAACTGTTACCTTCTCTCGGGGACTTCACCAACTCATCAAGTTCCTCCTTTGTTTTCCGCGGCTCATCCTTTGGGTAATGGACTTTAATTTTTTTCCAAGAACTCTTCAACATGTTAAATTCAAATATGAAAATCCAAACTCCCTACTTCATTGGCCCGTAAATCCTGCATGCACATGTATGATGTAGCGCACACTCATACTACATCATAACATTATACCCAGAGAGCTTTGTTTTTTCAATAAATGATTCTGAATTGTCACAATAAAATCAGAGCTCTGTTACTCTTGAATGGTCTAGAACACTAATCTACACAAACATGTGAGGCAGGGCACACACATACACACACAGGCAAGGGCCAGAAGGGGACCCGGCTGTATCCAAGGAACCAGTTTGCTATCAGCAAATCACTGTTAACGGGGGAGAAGTCCCTGTCAACCTACTCTCAGTGACAACTCTCGCGCGTTTATTCAAAATAGTTCACAAATGATCGAGCCTCAGTTTTCGTAAGTTTCTCCTTTCCATCAGATATTGTTCCAAGTCCATTTGATTTGGTTATATCCGTCTGATTTTTCATAGGGTCTAACAAGGCCTCCGTCATCTCCCCATGGAAATAACACACACCACAGCCAGGATATTGGCAAACGCCTCTACCAACACACTGTGGTAATCTTTTACATTGTTTACAATGTAATGAATGGTCGCTATATGTTCATTTCTCCCAGCCGACTACACACACATACACATAAAGGCAAACAGAAGGAGGCCTGACTGTTATCAATACCCTGTATTTACTGAGGACATTCAATTAAAAACCTGCAGTGAATAAGTTGCTAGAATAGATGACTATTTAACACAGTGTGGATAAGGCCACACGGGGCGCATTCACACTGGGCTCAGATAGACCGATACTGGCCCAGTCTTAAAACACAAAGACAGGGCCAACTGCAATCATTTCAGTGTGTCAAATGCCAAATGATAACGGACAAAGCTTTGTTTTTTTTCACACATAGCTGTAGGAGTAGGAGGGTACTAGTACCTGGCTTCATTCAAATATAAGATAACTACAATTAAAAGGAAAAAGTCCAAGTTCATGTCATTTGAACCAGCTGATATTCAACCTATTATGAGTCTGATGTGAACACGGTGTTTTGACAACAGTCGTGGGTGACATGCCCCCCTGTCAACTCCCCTGTTCCAGGTCTCTTAGTCAACACCATACAAATGTCATGGTAAACAGAGCCGGATTAAAAAGTTTATGGTTTGAATGCAGTAGGGCTTAAAGACATGTCATTCCAGAGGTTTTGTAAATATGCTTTTTGGAGGAGGTTGTCACTCTTCCAGGCAGTAAATGTTCCGCGTGTGTGCGTGCAGAAATAGAGTACGAGTAATTTAAAGACACAGATCACAAGGAACCATTTAAATCTGAGACCACAGAGTTTAAAATACATTTTTAATGCAACAGTGAATATGTTTTTTACTTGTTTGCTTATTGTTATCAAATTTTATAAAAAAACTGCTCAGTGAGTGTCAGGTTCTACCTGAGTTCACGGTCCTCAGGCTTTTACACTTTCTAAACATTTAGGTAACCTGTGCACACTTGAAGTCTTCTATTTCATTTACAATCCAAAATGAATTTATTATAGTTAAATGCAAAATAAATTTTAAAATCCAAACACAACAGTGCCATCACTGCCATAGGGTTTTAATTCATGTTCCAACTAGTCAATTTAAATTCCAGAGTAGTTAATCCGTCTAAAATTTACTTAAGCTCTTGCTATTAAATTTTAATCCTGCATGAATTAACTGGATTTATTAAGCACACATTGGATTGATAAAGAATTGCTTCATTCCTTATCGCACAGGCAGATTAGGTTTAATTATTCTTCAAATATTGTTACACTTTTTCACTTACTAGTACTAAATTCAAAACAAAATTGTTTTTTAAAACACATTTTGCCAAATCAATTCTTTGTTTGTAACAGCTAAGTACATGATTTCAAGAACAGGATATCTATTTATTATATAGAATGATAAATCTTATTCGTAAATAATTGACTGAAACATTGTATGGCCTATTACCCTAACACAAGCTGGCAGGTTGCAATATTCTAAGTACAAGCTAAATACATCTTTTAACTTTTCACCTAAAATAATTTTTTAAAAAATGCAAACCAACAATTAAAAACATACAGTTTGTTAAACAGCAAAAAGAAGTAATATACATTTATATAGCTTGCCAACTATAAATGCCATCTTATACCTATTACTGTTGTAGCCTAACGTTCTGAACTCATTGTGTTAGTTGAGAAAACAAAACACAAGGTTTACTCCTCTTTATAGGAAATCTTTTCATTATGTGTCATTGTGATACCATGAATCAACAAAATGGGAACAAATATATACAGCAATGTTAAAAAAAACCTGTATATTTTTTAATAAGACAAATATAAGTTTTTTTTTATCATAAATTCATAATCATTATAAAAGAAAAAAATATAAAAAGACAAATAAATATATTGAGGATCCGATTGTTCTGTACTAAAAACATTGGTGATGATTTTTCATTTTTCTTTTTAGAAATAAAAAACTAGTTTCAAGACTTATTTGCAATATTTGACTTACAGGTTACAACTCAAAGCACATTACTATTTGGATGACAGTCTCCAAAAGGACGGTATAAAATACACACAAGTTATATATAAGAAATGATGAATCATGCTCAGGCACATGCGCAAGTTTTTGTGAAAGTAAGAAGTCTGCTGAACTGAACTGAACTGAAAGTCAACAGCAAAGTCCATACAGCTGAATCCTTATCAGAAGTAATTTCTGCCTTTATTTATTTTGAAATGGGGGGGCGGAGTGTGACTCTGGCGCATTTTATTTCTTAATTAAAAGATGTAAAGTTGATGTGGATAATGCGGGCAGTGGTACCAAATGGGTACCGCAGGCGTTTTTATTTTGCGGAGGTTTATGTGGAGGATCGAATACTTACTTCTTCTAATTTCTTCAATCTTGGACATGTACTTGTTAAGACTAGCACCTGAAATGAAGAATATAAAGATAACCACAATTGGCACCAGTGATAGTATGTTTGAGGACACTTGGTTGGCTGAATATGATCAACAAAACATGTGGATTTCATTAGAGAAGCAGCAGTCTCCACAGGCCAACTATTTCTTATCACAAAAGGAGGGGGATGTGTGCAGCATGTCCTTCCAAAAGATATACAGTGAATGCTGTCAAATAAGGTATGTATCATGTGTGTTCTTAATATTCTGTCCAATAAAATGAAAGTTTATTCAAAAGGGCAAATAAATAATTATTTCAAGTAATTTTTTCAGTTTGGGTCCCACTGTCCGACCTACCATGTAGTTGTTGGGCAAATCATTTCAATTATTCAGTTTTCTTATGTCATCCTTTCATCTTAAACTACTCCATAACAGTTTGAGTTATTCCTAAATTAATGTAATATTGTCTCACTGTGTTGAAAAATGAAACTTTGTTGAACAATTAAAAATTACTGCTTTATATTCTTGCCGTTGTTTTAAAATAAGCTGACATATCTTTTCTGACATGACACGTGTTCAAATCACATGTTTTAAGCTTTAAATCAGAGCTTGAACAGACTGACTACTGACAATGAAACTGTGTCTGTATATACACACACACACACACTGTCTGTAGTAACGTACAGTACATGTAATTTAAGTCATCGTCCACATGGTGGCAAGAGTTTATAAATTGAAACATACTGACCATTGTATCAAATTTAAATATTTTGAAAATAGCTACGTTTTCTCTGTCGATCGCCACAAAAATTTTCAATGACATCGTAAGAGATATGTGTAATGGCAACAAAAAACATTGCCATAGATTCATTCAAACTCACCGGTATCGACCGTCGCTTTAACATGTTGATATTTGGGGTTCTCTGGCACTTTCCGACTCAGCGGCTACAAAGATAAAACACAAATCAGTATGGATAATGTCATTCAATTTTTAGGGAGAATCATCAAGTCACAGTTATTTAAATAAATGCGTCTTACGTCTAATTTCTTCTGTCTCGAAACAGCTGACATGTTGTTGTCGTTACAGGTAAAAATTCCAAAGCGCGCATGCGTACTATACCTTGAGGTTCACTATAACGCGCGTAAAATAGCATAAGCAGCGCGACGTAAAGACGCTACTGCAGTGGTTTGTCGTTACTGCACTAGATTTAACATTAAAGTAAGATAAAGATGTAGTGTTGTAATCTTGTTTTAAAAATATATGTCTTTCATGTTTATTTTGTAACTCGTCTAGTCCTGACATTATATAGAAAATTGTTTTCTTCAACACTAACCGGGTTGATGAGCGAAAACTACAAACAAACAATAAATAAATAAATAAATAAATAAATAAATAAATAAATAAATAACAGTAAAATACATTTATATTCACATACCAGTAGATGTAAGGTTATTTTGGGTTATTTTGCCTCGTGATTTTAAGTAAACTCATTGCTACAGGTACACTGTTAATTAATGTGATTCGATCACTTTATCTTATTTTCAAATAGGTAGGCCTACGTCCATGCGAACATATAGGCTATAGGCCTAGCCTTTTTAATTAATCATCACTAAAGCTACAAATAAGCGACAACCAAAGAAAGAATAGGGCCTAGACACAAAAAAGTTAAAAAATAAATAAGATTAGGGTGATTAATAAAGCACATTAAGTAGGCCTAATGAATTAGTCAATGAAACAAGTGAGAGAAAATATAAATAGCCTACTTAAAACAATCTATCTGCCGTTTTCACAAACGATTCTAACAGAAATTAAACAACTGGTAAACTGTTCTGTGCCGTAATACAACAATATACAAGTTGAGATCAATATTTCTACAGCTTCATTAAGTCAGGAGTTACAAGACTCCTGGGCTGACCATGATATGTCTACACACTCCTGATTACTGTTGTTCTGTGTCTTAATTTATTCATGATCTCAGTCTTTAGGGACCGTGCAAATGCGTGTTGAATTTACTTGACAACCGTCGCGTGATCCGGCTTGCTTGACCTCTCCAAGAAGGTCTGATCCATCGTGTATAAAATTCAAGACACAATGGAAAAGGAGATTTGGTCCTAGAATAGGCCGAGCAAAACTAATATGTGTGCTTCGGGTCAACTTAGGATGCAATAAACAACACCTCGGACAACTAACCGACTTGAAAATAATCAGATAATAGAACAATTAATTGTCTGATAGGCGTATTTTTCTTTGCAAAAATATCTTTTCCCTTTCAGCCTGCACCCCCTCCCCCATCTCCTTCCTTCTAAATAACCTGTCAGTGTCAGTGTTTGGATCCCGACAAAACACAGATGTAGGGACTACTGATACTGCAGTATCTGATCTTTTCTTAAGAGATGTAATCGACATGTTTTTAAATCTTTTAATTTTTTCTATTTGATTTTATCAATTTATTATTATTTTTTTCATTTTCTAAATTTTTTGGCATCTTCGTTACCCACCAGGACAAGTTGCACCATCCATTCTTAGGCTAGTAACCCATAGAATTTCCACACATAGGCACATATAGTTTACTTACTAGTATATACCTTAAGAAGCACTGTAGTGACAAGCGCGTTATAAATTAAAACTTAGATCCAGTCTGAGTTAAAAATTTTGGGGTAGTCGGAAAATGTACTTCAAATATTGCCAGCCTCGTTCAGAGCACCACACTTACCCACATACCACTTTTTTCCATTTATTTATTTATTT